ACCGCGCGGTGTTCACTTGCCTAAATTTCCTCTATCAGTGTATTGTTTCGTTTGGATACAACAGGGAATAGACGTATTTTAAGCACAGTAAAGCAAGTTAACATTTGTTAGGTTCAAAACGCAGTTGCCCAGAAGAAACACAGGGATGGTATGAAAAGAAAGTTAGAAGATATTTGCCATGAAAATCCAAATAAAAAAAATACTATCTCTGAGGGATTCAGTGGGACGTCCTAATCTTAAAAGCAATCAACATTCACTATTGAAAACAATCTCGGATATAGCTTTATTTGGGAGTGCAGCAGATGATAGAAGACGAACGGAATCAATTCGTAGCGTAAAAACTCTTGATAAACTCACACAAAAATTATGTAAAATAGGATTTGACATTAGTCGCAGTGGGACATATCTTCGTTTGATTCCTAGAAAATCGTAATTCTGCAGAGGGACGAAGACATGTATCGACAGTTTCTGTTAAGCTCATTCGGGCTCAAACTGATCACCACAAGAGCCACTTAGATAGCAAGTTCGCTGAAACATCAATCCATTATTTAGAGAACAAAGCATCCATACTTGGACCAGATCAAGTATTTTTCATATCTCAAGATGATAAAGCTCGAGTCCCTATTGGCGTAACTGCGGCAAATAAGCAATCACCTCTTCTAATGCACATGGAATATAGAATCAAATTGCCTGATCACGATTGGGTAATCTCTGAGCGTCATAAATTAATACCATCTGTTTATGCTGTTATCAAAATCACTTCCAATATGCTAGGACAACCGCAAGCCGTTGGATATTCTGGACCAACATACTTCGCTATTCAAAGTGGAAAGCATAGATCATCTACTGCTAGTACTCATGCTCAGGATTTCGTGACGCTTCTCGAACTTGAAGAGTTTCGACCATTAGCTAAAACTGACCATGGACTAGTAAAACCAGTGGTAATCATGACGGTTGATGGAGGGCCAGATGAAAATCCACGTTATCAAAAAGTCATAGGGTTTGCTATACAACACTTTAAGCGACATGATCTCGAATGCATTGTTTTTATATACCAATGCTCCTGGAAGAAGTGCGTATAACAGAGTAGAGCGCAGAATGGCTCCTCTTAGTTAGGAACTGGCTAGCTTAATATTGCCTCATGACCATTTTGGGACTCATTTGGATGAACGTGGCGTTACAATTGATGAACATTTAGAAAGATCTAATTCCGAATTTGCAGGAAATGTATTAGCTGAAGTATGGAGTTCAATGGAAATTGATGGCTATAATGTTAATGCAAAATATGTTGGGGCAGGTGAACAAGATCTTCCTGATTTTCCAGACATTAAATGGTATTCATAACATGTGCGTGAGAGCCAATACTTGCTTCAAATTGTAAAATGTAGAAATACAGAATGCTGTCGTCCAAGAAGTGGCCTATTTAGGTTACTAGACAATAGGTTTCGTCCACCACCTGTAAAAGTAAAACAAACAGTTGATGACTTGGTTTTGGATGAAGGAGGGCAATTGCTTAATCTTCCAGTCAATTTAGCTCTACGCTTAAGTGCTTCACTCAAAGATTTTCTGCAAATGCCCTACGATTATTTTTGTCCGACGGTAAAAGTGAGGCTATCAAGTCGAACATGCAAACGTGTGGTCTTTATCATGCTTCCGTCAAGTCACTAAATCGTCATATCGAAAATATCTATAAAAAAGTAAAGACGCACACTGATAGGAGAGTTAGACCTGTAAGAGTCGCTGCTCGTCGTGCGAATGCACTGATGTGCATTATTTAAAATTTAGAGCACCATGATGTTGAATGGCTCGATGAGAACCACGTAGACATTCCAAAATCCGATGAAAGCGAGTAAACTCACAACACTGAGCAGCAATCGAAGCAATCCAATGTCATCGAAAACATAGAATCATGGATTCGGGTTTCATGGACTGAAGACTGTTAATTTGAATTTAATATACCTGTATGTACCAAAAATTTAAAATAAGTTTGTTATGTTAGTAAGATATAATATTTTTGTCCGTATCAGTAAAATATAATCTCTATTCTAAATCTATTTTCTTATTTTCCAAATTATATGATTGCATACAAAACATACATATTATATAACTAATTGTAATAAATCTGCTTACATAATACTTGAACGGCCCCTTAACAGCAGATTCCTTTCAAACAAATATTGAGATGAAGTTAAATTTTCATAGCCCGAAGGTCAAAGGCAACCAAGATACAGGGTGATAAACTTATTATGATTATTTTGAATTTTGGCCATAAATTTAGCATTTATTCTTCGTTTCTAACGACATTTGTTATATGAGGGTTTTTTATATCGCAAATCTAAAAATTAACCTTTTTTCAAATTATCTTATAGAGGGCGCCACCAGCAATTTTTTTTGTTTTTTTAAACTTCGTAACTTTCTTACACTTGGTATAATTTAATCGCTTAAAAAAGTACTTTAAAAATCCGCTATGATTCATCCTTTCGAGATAGTTACATTTAAACCTTTCAATGCGTTCAACAAAAAAAATCATACCCATAAACTATTTAAATTCCTTCATTATACTTGGAATGAATGGTAAAATACAAACGATGAATTAACTTAAAATTAAAGATAAATCAGAAATAAAAATTATCGATATTTACCAGCAAGTGTTCGACATGACCTCCATTTCTCTCAACATTTTATAATTCTTTTAATGAAAGATCTCAGAATCTTAAAAAATATTTTCGAAATGATTCAGCAGCATTTTGAATTTTTGACATTATTTCCTCTCTTGTGTTTACTGAAGTTTTCGTAAAAAATTGATTTCATATATCCCCATACGCAAAAATCTAATGGGTTAATATTTGGACTTCGTGCGGTACAAGGTCTTCGACTTCCATGTCCTATAGAGTTAAAATAGCGTCAAAATATTCTCTCACCGGTCTAGCAATGTGCGCATCTTACATAAAAACCATATCCCGGCGCAGATTTAAAGGTAATTCTTCTAAATAATCAATGAGCTTTGTTTTTAATAAGTTTAAGTATAATTCTCCGTTTAGATTTGGAGGTAACTCGTATGGTCCCAAAAAAATTGTCTATTACACCACACCAAATATTTATTTTAAATTCGCGTTGAAAGTGTCTTTCAGATTTCAGTAAAGAGGTTGGGATTTGCAATATGTCATGAATGCTTGTTTCTAAAATCAAAAATTCCCCTTCGCTTCATCCGTAAATATAATTTTATTTATAAATATCTTGATTTTGCTGAGCCTTGAAGATCTGCAATTAAAAGTTTTTGTACAGGCGTAAAATGATATGGATAAAGATGTTCGCGATGAAAAATTCTGAAAACTGATGATTTACTAATTCTAGTTTTTGCTGCCATATGCGTGATACTTATTTCTGGATCTTCAGCAACCTGGGTTAACACTTCTTCTTCTTGATCCACATCATGTCTGTTTGGATGTTCAACATCCCGCTTTGGCCTGAATGAACCAGTTTCCCCAAGTCTCTGGTAAACGTTAAAACTTAAAATCTGGCTGCCTCCTATTTGAATACAATTGCGCATAACGTCGACAAGCTCTTAAACAACTGTAATTTTCTTGGGCATATACGCAAACCATATGTCGCAGTTCCGAATTAGAAAATAATGGATGTCTAAGAATGTAAAACGTGACAATAACGTTTATAATTCAGTTCGTCAGGCACAGCCTACATAATGAATATTTTAACTTATGAAAATAAAATTTCATTTTGAGTGCATTGAAAACTTTAAATGTAAATATCTCGAAAAGGGTGAATCATGATTGCACAATGCATATTTTAAATAAAAAGTTGAATTATACAAGGGTAAAAAAGTTACGAAGTTTAAAAAAGAAAATGTTGGTGGCGCCCTCTATAATTTGAAAAAGGGTAATTTTTTAGATATACGCCAAGTTTCGTTAAAAATAATAAGTTTATCATCCTATATGTATCTCGGTTGCCTTTGACTTTCAGACTAAGAAAATTTAACTTAACCTTAATATTTCTTTAAAAGGAATCTGCTGTCAAATTATTTACCATCACTAATGGTTATATACTATCTAGAGAGTGCAGCTTTCTGTTTGGTGCAGACTTTGTAGTATTTGAATATATCCTAGTTTGTTATATGTATATATAATAGAAATAAAACTACAATTTTTGTAAACATGATCACATGATCCCTGCTTTCTGAATTTATAACAAAGAATTGGTTCTAGTGAATGGTGATATATTATGACCTGTTCCTAGACAATCAGACAAGTAATTAGTAAAACTTGATCCCATATATAATATCAATGAAAATAAAAATCAAATTTTGTTAGGGCTATAAAATTTAGAAGTTTTTATTTTTATTCGAAAACATTAAATATCAATATCAAGTTCTCCAATTTTTTTCAGAGCACAGTTATAATTATACGAGTACATCATTCCGTAGAATACAATTTGTTCTTTTAGTATATACAAATATATTTTCAATGCTAAATAAAGCAATGCATCAAAACTAGACAAATGTTTTTATCTAAATCAATCAAACAAACTGAATAAATATATAATAATTATTTTACTTGGAGCAGGTAAACTCATTTCGATAATTCATTAATTCTAAGTGAATCTGAGTAAACGGTTTAATGGTCTTAAACGATTGCGTTTTGGTTTAATTAAACTAGTTTCATCGATTCAAGTAAACTGTTTGAGAAATCGAGTTTAATTAAACATGCTAAACTTGTTAGCCGTCATATGACTAATTTAATTTCATAATTGGCTTAATTAAAATTTCAATTTTCTTATTTAACTTTTTATTCGGTGTGTTATTAGATCTACTAGATTGATATAATGAAGTACACTTTCTCAAAACGTCGGCTTCATCAACATTCATTCAGTCAAAATATTAGGTATCAGAAAATACCGATGAGCTCTTATACAGTGCGTGAAGAATTTTTTCCATTCTTAATCCAGTGAAACTAGACATTATACGAAAGTAATCATTTCTCTGATAGGTATTGGACAAGCTGAAAGCGGAACGCGAACGCGGTATTACGATTGATATCGCATTGTGGAAGTTTGAGACTTCTAAATACTACGTGACGATCATCGATGCCCCCGGGCACAGGGATTTCATCAAAAACATGATCACCGGCACTTCGCAGGCTGATTGTGCTGTACTGATCGTCGCGGCAGGTATGTATGTTTTATATTTTTCAAAAATATTACCATAGGGGATAGGGCGCTTAAACGACGTACAGCGGGAGTTAAAGTACAAAATCGAAAAAATGCTTAATAAATATGCCCCTATATAATAAATATATGTATACCTCATTTAAATACTAAATCAGCTATAATTTAGTAAGCACCACACTAAGTTATCTTAATTCATATTAGTAGTGTTATAGTGACTGTGTCCTAGCAACTGAATTTCTTTATCTAACAATATTTTTGAGATTGGCTTATTTAGGTGTAGTGGTTTTGTAGTAAACTTTCGCATGAACAATTTAATTCTAAATATATTTAATTTTGTATGCAATCATAAAATTTTCAGTCAAATTTAATATATTTTGTCATTGTTTAGACTACTGGCGTATCTAGAAAAAAAATCTTGGGAGGGTCTTGCGGGCGGATCCAGCCTCTGAGTAGTGGAGGTCACTTAGTCACACTGTCTGTGTCGTGAGTGGGCTTTAGCCCTAAAGCTCCCTTATTACATCAGTAAAATACAGATATCGGATAATTTTTTCTACTACAATGAACTTGGGTCTCAAGCCGTAGGTTAATGATATCTTCAAATAGAAACAAAACGTTTTGAAATAACAGTAATTAAACATATATTGGTTACTGTTCACAGGCTACCCTGAATTTGAAGAAGCAAAACAATATTTTTTAAACTACAAAAATAAACTTTCAAAGTTAATAATAGCTACAAATCAAACATATACTAAGTGACATATAAATCCGAACACACAGTTTAAATGGTTTTATTTTAATAAAAGTTGGTGAATGTATTTATCTTACTGTAAGTAACAAGTGAAAAAATTTTCAGCCTTATCAGTTGGAGATTCCGGTTTTTATACTGCTTGTTTTTAATTCACTAACGCTCTAAAAATGAATATTTCAGCCGCAGTAAAGAATCAACGTTGGCGGATTTTGGTTCTTGACATCCTTTACGATCGGTTACGATGCCTAGAGTACGGAGACCTGTACGATTTCGTCAACTTAGTGAGTTTGATAGGGGCCGTATAGTGGGACTTCGGGAAGCTGGACTTTCTTTTCGGGCAATTGCAGTTAGAGTGCAAAGAAGTGTAGACACTGTGGTTAGGTGTTGTCAGGCATGGCTTTGAGAAGGCCGTACGCAAAGAGCAAGGGGCACTGGGCGCCGCCGTAGAACAACAGACCGTGAAGCTCGCCGCCTAAGATTATTGGCCTTAAGAGATCGTTTTTCCACTACCAGGTCCACTGCAGAACACGGAAGACCTATTGGCATGCGAAGTGTTTACCGACGAATGAGAAGTTTTGGCTTGTTTTCATACCGGCCACACTGGGTCCTCCCTTTAACTCGAGAACACCGACGTAATCGCCTTGAGTGGTGCAGACAACGGTCATTCTGGGATCAGGAATGGAACAGTATTGTCTTTAGTGACGAGTCCCGATTTTGTTTAGGCATGCACGATGGTCGTGCCAGGGTTAGAAGGCGACGTAGTGAAAGGAGGAATCCACAGTTTTTTGTTGAAAGACATGTTCATCACACTGTTGGAGTTATGGTTTGGGGTGCTATAGCTTATGGTTCCAGGTCACCTTTAAACTTCATCAGAGGTAACATGGACGCGCAGCGTTATATACACGAAGTTCTAGAACCCCATCTTTTACGCTATCTTGACACCGTGGCAGATCCAACTTTCCAACAAGATAATGCCCGACCACATGTTGCAAGAGTCACAATAGACTTCTTTCAACATAATGATGTCACATTGTTACCATGGCCACCAAGATCTCCCGACTTATACCCAATTGAGCACGTGTGGGATATGATGGGTAGGAGATTGCTCAATTTGCAACGTCCTCCTCAGACTCTAGAAGCACTTCGAGAGGAGTTGGTGGTTGCCTGGAATGAGATACCACAGGAGGACATTGACCACCTGATCAGAAGCATGCCTAGGCGCGTTGGAGAATGCGTAGCACATCAGGGTGCATCCACACATTATTAAAGGTCAAAGGGCTTTAAAGCAGTGCAATCATTTTGAAATTTTTATCATTTACTTATTATGCTTCATTAAGTACTTATACAAAATTTTATTAAAATAAAACCATTTAAACTGGGTGTTCGGATTTATATGTCACTTAGTATATTATACGCAGATATTACAGAAAAATAACTGTATGGAATATCATCAGCCAAATATGTAACTCAAACAAGCCAATGACAATTATTGAACAAATCAAAACTAATGATACTGTAATTACTGCAGATGCAGATATTGCTAATGTTTTCAATACATATTTCAAGTTCAAGTGGGAGGAAAACTGGCAACTAAAATAAATACACTTACCACCAATATTCCATTTAGAGTAATCATACAAAATTCAACATTTCTTAAACCAGTAACAGAAAATGAAATATAATATACCATTTATAGCCTGAAAAATAAGGGTCCAGGTTTAGATGGCAGACGGTCAGAGGTACTCAAAAAGATTGCACCCGAATTCAGAAAACGACTAACATTTTTAGCAAAAATTTTGTAATTGAATCCGGAGCGTTCCCAGACACAAAATAGGAATAATTACACCGATACATAAATCTGGTGATATATCTAATACCAGCAACGATCCACCAATAACATTAATATCAAGTTTGGTAAAGATAATTGAAAAAATATTCTAGGTTAGGCTCGTTAGTTTTTTCAATAAAAATAAGCGGATTGATGAAAAGCAATTTGCAAAGTAAACATGCACTATGAATATTCTTAGACCTAGCAAAAGCGTTCGATACGGTGAATCACTCGCAACTATTTAAATTAAAATTTATTTAAAAAGTATTTTAGACAGTTTATTCGCAGTACCTGGAATTAAATTTACCTTACGAGGAGTTCCTCATTCACAGAAAGCAATATGTTAAAGTAGTATGGTTCCATAAGTTCAGAAAAGACTGTGGCTTATGGTGTACCGCAAGGGATAGTTTTAGGACCGTTATTTTTACTGTATATGTCAGAAGCCTTCTTAGCTTGAAGTCACAAGGCACAAGGCTTTGCAGTGATACTTTAACAATCATTTAACAGAAAACCATGTAAATGCCTTTCGCAAGCCTTAAAAATAAATGTTCATTATTTACCTCTTCACAAATTAAATGTGAAAATACTAATACTTTCATACGTTCAGCCGATTAAACAAATATTTAGGTGTTCATTTGGATCCTCATTTGAAGTGTAGTATAGTAACTAATTTAAGACGATTATTCTTTGAATTCAAATACCTGGCTAAATATTTAGATAATGAAGCAATGCAGATGTTATATCACGTACTTATTGAATGTCGCCTGAATTATGCTATACTAGCTTGGGGTGGTACGTTTACCAACTAAATTAAGGAGCTAGAAATAATCCAAAAGCAATTTTTGAAAAGTATTCTCAAAGAACCAATTCTATATCCATCTGATATGTTATATTCCGAAGCGGGGATACTCGATCTTAAGCAACTCTTTTTTGTACAGTGCTATTGTCAATCTATTCAAAAATAAAACTAACCTTGTCATTGAACCACAAGTATGAAACAAGATGATATTAAAAGAACAGCATTTACAACAAAAAAAGTAGGTCAAAAATGCTTCAATTACCTTTCCACTAGATTCTATAACTTTTTACCAAGCTATATAAAATCCATTTCAAATAAAATTAGATTTAAAATTGAAATGAAGAAATTATTGTTAACTAACAATCGACATGAAATAACAAAGCTCACTCAAATGAAAATTACTTGTGTTGAATATAACGTTATTACCATTACATTTATGGTTATATGTTGTCCTTAAAGTTATGTATTAAGTATATCTATGCTTTAAGCAAACATTTTTATGACTAGCTTTTACCACGCACAAGAATTAAATTCTTCTGTGGGATTATTTCAGTTTGATTTTAATGAATTGTAATAGTTTATACGTAAATAAACTTATATTATTATATATTAGGATATTACGAGCTACTATGATAAGTTTTTGGCGTTTGGGCTAAAGGCAATATGAAATTCTAGTTGTAGTCTAATTTTTATTGCCTAAAGGGATGTTGTAAGATGCAATGTGTAGTAATGAAAAACCCTTTCCCAAAAATTGTTGGTCAAGGTGCACATCATAGAGTCGCATATCATTCCGCTAAAATAATTAATATTATTGATTACTATTTTTCAATTGTATTCCTTTAAAAGCTCGGATTCTATGAGAAAAAAAAGCGATCATGGAATGACAACTATCAACGTTAACAGTTTTATTGAAACGGAACGCTTACCATACGTGGTGTGATAGATACAAGCCGCGTTTCCAAAGTTCTTTTTTAGATGTTTTTCGTCTTAAATCCATAAATCATGGCTGTAGTTAAATGAAAAATACTAATCTAAACTTCGTTTATGACGTTTTTCACTTCCTGAAAAAATGTGAAATAATGCATTGATGATATTTTTATATGCTTAGAATTTAAATGGATCTATATCATTGCGTGGCAACTACCGAATCAATTTTAATGACTTCTCCATTATTCCCATTATCTAGTACAGATAATAAAGAAAATTTCATTTCAGGTACTGGTGAATTTGAAGCTGGTATTTCGAAGAATGGCCAGACTCGCGAACATGCTCTTCTAGCTTTCACCTTGGGCGTAAAACAGTTGATTGTGGGCGTTAACAAGATGGACTCCACTGAACCACCTTACTCGGAGGCTCGTTTCGAGGAAATTAAGAAGGAAGTGTCTTCGTACATTAAGAAAATTGGGTATGCAAAATTCAATAGCAAAATTCTATCACAGTTACCATATAGCTGGAAGCTTAAACATTATAAAGAAAGAGAAGTTAGTGCATTTTTATCGGTTTCTTCTGGCAATCGGTTGAACAAGATTAAAAAATATTCAATAAAAATATTCTATATATATACTTCTATTAGTTTTCTCATTAAGTGCATTTTTATTTTTCTCGAGATATCGATATCGAAATTCCTATGTTCTGTTGGAGGACGCAAAATCTCCAGGTTACATTGGACAATAATTTAAAGATCGATGACCCTACCCTCGTAAGACTATTTTGTCATCTGACGATTTTCGAAATACCGGTTTGTTTGAGTTGCAGGCCTTAAAGGGTGCAACTGGAAACCAATTTTTTTAACAACAATGACACTTCTACATCATAATAACCAGTTAAGCTCTCACATGGAGCATAATTAACTTGTTCAGATCAGCAGGGATGGTCTAGCCCCAACACATTTCTATTTTTTAGTACTTGTAGTTATAAAATGGCTTGAAAGTAATATTTTGCAAGCATAATCCTTTAGCTACAAATTTACTAGAGTTCAGTTTAGATCAGTATATGGCGAACGTCTACTCTGGTACGTTGCTTTCAGTATTTACTGTACCATTCCATCAATCTAAGTGGATATCTGCGTAACCATATTCATCAGTGATAACTGAGGTCCTATCTCCACGTTCAATAAATATCAAAATCAATGACATTTGCTGACGGATCATAGTATATACTGATCATTTGGCATTCGCCTATGAGGGAAACATTCTTGTTCCAACAATAATTTATCGATTATGGTAACGATACTATGCTGATTCCGTCATTTTCAATATAATCTTTTTGATAACATACATGATTAGCGACCCGAAAAAACTTGAGGTACCCATTTCACCAAGTTGTAGGCATTTGGACGAGCAATATTAAAACATGACTGTTCGTTTCAAAAATATTTTTTTTATCGAAATCAGACAAGTGCACTCATACGACCCTATGAAATTTGTATCCAAGACGATATTTCCTACCTAGGCAGTATTACATTTTCAATACATGAAATATATTTGGAGAGCATAACCACAGTGTCATCAACAGCTATCGGCTTTCTTTTGCCCACTTTAGTTATAACTTGATATAGCTTACAGGGATGATAAAACAATCAAAAATAATAAATATGGAGGTTATTCTAATTGATGGAACAACAAATTCAGCCCTGTAACTTATACAAATTGAATTTAGCCAAAATTAGTTATTAGTTATTAGTTATTGTTATGCTGTATAATAGATTGTTTCCTCGGTTTTTCCTAGTGTCTCAGAGGAAATCAAATTTAAATTCTCTGACTTTCCTCCCGGCTGGAACAACTATAGGATTTGTTTTTTGTTCTGCATATGTATGTAACCATAGATCTTGTCAAACCGTTAACGCCAGATAATAAAACTTATTTTCCTAAAATCTGACGTAAGGTTTACCCTCATATAGGAGGCACATATTCTAAAGACAATGCTTCAAAAAACTTGTCACGTTAGGCTAAAACATACGTCACAACTTTGGCGCAGAATTTCACATTTGAACTTTGCAAGGATGCTTTGGTACTGCTCGCTCGTAAGAAAGACACGCTCAGAATATTCTTTTAGGAGTCAAAATGTCAAGAAGTACCATTATCCTTATTCGAATGGCCAAAATAGTATTTTGTGGTAAATGAGATCCTCAAGACTAAACTGAATTGTGAACTTGATGAAACATTTTCGCTGAGGTGTTGTGCTCCATAATATTAATTTGTGTTCAATAAGGTACAACCCAGCTGCAGTGCCATTCGTACCAATCAGTGGGTGGCATGGGGATAACATGTTGGAGCCCAGCGACAAAATGCCATGGTTCAAAGGGTGGAACATTGAACGTAAAGAGGGTAAAGCGGAAGGAAAAACTCTAATCGAAGCTTTGGATGCCATTTTGCCCCCATCCAGACCTACTGAGAAACCTCTGAGATTACCGCTTCAGGTAAGGAAAATAAATATTACATTACATCCGTCAGGACTATGCGCCTCAGGATATAAAAGTGCTCAAATAATAATGATTGCACCAAGGTATGTACAGAGTTGTTTCCACTATTATGATGTATTGCCAAATTTAATTTGATTAGGCTTATACTGTCAAATAATAAACGACGCATTGTCTCCTTCACAGAATTTAGGAGAGGGACGCTGCCGCTACATGATAGAGACAGAAGGTGCTGCATACGTCGACACACCATTCGTTTACAACTCAGTTTCATATGAACAAAAATCGTCCTAGCGCTCATCAGGTTTCGATGGATGGCCGAGTTTTCCCAAAGAGTCGTTTGTTTCGGCTGGTCCGAGTCCGGCAGGGCTATTACGTAAAAAACCAATAAAACATAAAAAAAAAATAACGGCAAAATGTCAACTTGCTGTCTAGATAGTTCCTAGTGTGTAAATAGTACATTCCGCATTTGCTCACTGGCGGAATGATTCAACAACACGACACGCTCAATGACCATGCAACTCAGTTCCCCATCTTGCTTTGTTGGTTGCAGGATGCCGAGATAGTCGGTAGAGGATACTCTGAGATGTGTGGTTGAGAAGCAGAATGGTGTGCCAGCGTATGCATGTAAGGAACGAGTTCGCAGCTTAACATGCAACGTCTGAATATAGGCCAGGCTTTTTAGGAAGACATACATACGTATTGTATGTCGAATTTGATGGACAGACCCTGGACGAGTCTTCCGGTATTGTACCCGCGAAAGTTGCTATCTGGTGCTCTCTTTTTCTCCTAAAAGCAAGCTAAACAAGTTTGTAAAATTGTAATTTTATTAATTCATTCATTGGAGTATCCAACAGTTATCACTTTCCAAACAGTACCTAATCAACTTAGGCCGCGTGTCATTCGAGATTTGTCTTCGAAAATCGCGAACTATTTGGATCCTAGGAATGAGGAATGCAATGTTTTTAATATCTGTTGCGTAGGGCATAGTTGCTACTAGTCGAATGCTGAAGTGTGTTTCCATTTGTTTGGAGAATTACTTCCAGTCAATGCGACTTAATCTGAAGCGTTAATCAAATTCCGAATTGACATAAAATATAAAATTAGTACGACTCACATGACCACATTTTCAAGAAAAAAACTCCAATTTAAGAATATCAAACAGTTTTTTCTACCAGTCTTAATCATTGTAGCACACATTGATATTTAAGAATTTAAGCAACAGTGTGACCACCCATACCTTAATGAAAATATACTTAATTTGGAAATATGGTCTCATACTTGCAAAATATGGAGAAGTACTAATGCCACACACTGCATTAATGGAACAAAATAATCCAGATCAATACAAGTTACAAATAAATTTACTTGTAATTACTACACCATGCTTTTTATGGAATAGGCACCTGAAGGTAACCAATGCTCCAATCGGACAACGAATGGGCAAAATCGCAAAAGGATTTCCTATCTATGAGAATAGAGCTATCTTTTTTGCTTTGAATCGTATTTGACACTATTTTTTCTGCAGGACGTATACAAAATCGGCGGTATTGGCACTGTGCCCGTAGGCCGTGTGGAAACCGGCATCCTGAAGCCCGGCATGGTGGTGACATTCGCCCCGGTCGGCCTAACCACCGAAGTGAAATCGGTGGAAATGCACCACGAAGCGTTGCAGGAGGCCGTTCCCGGAGACAACGTTGGCTTCAACGTGAAGAACGTTTCCGTGAAGGAGCTGCGACGCGGATACGTCGCAGGGGACTCGAAGAACAACCCGCCCAAGGGGGCTTCTGACTTCACCGCTCAGGTCATCGTGCTGAACCATCCGGGACAGATTGCTAATGGGTAAGTATTGGATTTATACGAGGGGGTACAAAAAAACAAAATTATTTTTTAAAAGCTATTTATTTTCAACTTTTTCACAATCCTTCAAAATACCGTCTACTACAAGTAATACACTTGTCCCACCGATGCTTCCACCGCTCGAAACATTTTTTGAAGTCTTCCTTAGAAATGTGTGTATTCACTCCTCCCTCGTTTTTTTCTTGACTTCTTCAATGTCGTCAAATCGGCATCCTTTCATGCCCCTTTTCATCCGTGGAAATAAGAAAAAGTCGTATGGAGCCAGGTCAGGCGAATAAGGTGCGTGAGGCAGCGGAACCATGCCATTTTTAGCCATAAACTGTCGAACAGCGATGCCTGTGTGCTCAGGTGCATTATCGTGGTGGAAGAACCAGTATCCTGACTGCCACAAATCGGGTCTTGTTTGCCGAACACTGTTTCGCAATCGTTTTAAAACCTCCAAATAAAAGGTCTGATTGATAGCGTGATCTGGGGGAACAAACTCGGAATGGACTACGCCTTTGACATCAAAAAACAAATCAGCATTGTTTTGATGTTTGATTTGACTTTGACTTGACATTTTTTTGGACAGGGTGATGATGGCGTCTTCCACTGACTTTCTGGGTTATAACCGTAGAACCAAGCCTCGTCACCAGTGATGATCTTTGACAGAAAATTTGGATCAGATTCAAGCTTTTGTTTTAAAGCACGACATGTTCCAACTCGGTGTTCTTTTTGATTGTCAGCCCGAGGAACCCTTGTCATTCCCAAATCATCTGTTAAAATTAGCTGAACCGAACTCCAGGACAATCCACTACTTACGGATAGTTGATCGATTGTCAGTCGACGATCTGCAAGCACAAGCTCTCGAGGTTGTCATCAATCGACATGTCGCCGAGCAAATCATTCGTACACCTGAGTTTTTCCCATAGCATCATCGTTGTAAGCTATTTTCAACATTAAAACAGTTTCAGCGGCATTTTTACCAATTAATAACCAAAATTTGCCATCGTAAAAAACGAAATAAGCACGAAACAGCTCTAGCAAAAATAATGACTACAGAGGAACGAAACAAGCCAGATCGACAACTCTGGTGGCGCTGAACTGGTAATGAGTTGCGCTGTACGCCTCTAGGGGCAGACATGTGTACTACACAAGCTCCGCCCACTGCAATGTGATTCAGGTTATTTTTGGGTACCTCCTCGTAGAATAGTGAACCATCGAACCCTTTCAGAAAATTTTCCGTTTTATTAGTATTATATTAGTATTATAGTACAGGATCATTATTAAGCTCAACCTCCACCGACCTTTCGACCGGATATCAAATTATAGCCTCTTTTGTGCCCTACAATGAACTATTCCAGGACAGTTCTGATTCTGCATAATAGGTTGATTGACGTCAGCACGGTATTGTGAGTGGATATTGGTACTTTAGAACTGTTCTGAAATAGTTTCCTGTAGAAGTCAGAATAAACCTATGATATTTTAAGGTATCATTAATAAGTTGCCTTAAGAAATGCTGAATCGACTTTTCGCAATGAAAACTGATGCGACGGCTTTCCGGTAGGTCATCATAGTGTGGCAACACATTCAGTAGTGGGTCAACAAAACAGCATCCTTATTACGTAACTGCAACTATATTTCCTTATACCAAATACTAAAATTCACACTGCGTCCTGGCTGACTGTGTATGTGATGCTTGCTTTGAGATCACAATACCACTGCAAAGGTGGTACCCGCTTTGCTGATCGTATCAAACCCGTTTAGGCTCATAGGCAGCAAAAACTTTTCGCACATCTTAATTTATGACTAGCACCAATACTGTAAACATCACATCGTGTTCCAAAAGTTATCTCCATAAATAGGATCTTACGAGTCTGCTGACCACAAACCATTCTAGTGCAATGCGGGTTGCAGTAGTTTAATAAAAAATTCAGCAAAACGACGGTTGTGCCATTCTCCCACATATTAGAGTCAACTGAAAAAAAGTGAGCCAGGTTCCCGACAATACCCTACAGTTTTTCGAGGGGACTAAGCATGCTTGAATCGAAGCATTCGATGATCTGCCACGTCTTTTCTCAATATTAATCTCTTTAGAGGGAGCTTCAAAATCAGTTTTAACAAAAATACTGAAACGCTTGTCTTTAAACGCGTCAATTTCTCTTGTTGGTCACTTTATGCAAAACTTTGGTAGTGCAAATGCCTCCTCTACACAAAATCTGGTCGTTTGGTCATGTGTTGCAAAATAAATAATAACAAATATTACGCTTGGCGCTTAGTTAAAAATGTTTTCACTTTTGAAACCCAGGTCTCTATATTGCGTGCATTTTTTTATAGGTAAGTGGATAGGTATAGATAGCAGCAAAATCTGCAAATGTATCAAATAGCGCTTGGTCAAGTTTTGCATAACGCGGTCCAATTATTGCACCCGACATATTGTGATGTTTTACGTAATAAGTATATAGCAAATTTATATATGCTGCGGTTGGCACGCAGTTTTATAGTCAACTCTGGTTCAGGAATGCAGCACAGCTTATTAAAGCCTAGCTCTTATAAAAGACGTGACCCTATTCAGGGTGTCTAGCTACAGTAGCATACCGCATTGAAATTAACACAGTCTCCAAGAAGATACCCAATTGGATGCCGTATGTTGACGTGTACACACAATTTCCGTAGTCACATCCATAGATAGTATTTCTTTTCAAACTGGCTATTCTTAAATATGACATCAACCTTACAAGGAAAGATTACCTGAAATTTCGAATTCTCATAAATCCTGAACAATGGAAAAGCAAATGCCATAACCACCAGCAACAGTCATAAAGGTGGCATCGGAGACACCTAGACGTTTACATTAGGGAAAAGCATTTAAAAAGTGGTATTCAAGAATGATAAAATGTACAGATTGTTTAATTTTTTTTTGTAAAAATGTACGTTTTGCATTTGTGACCACCCTGTAATGATCATTCAAAACGAGGATAAGTTAGGTTAAAATTGAGTATGTTAAAGAATAAAATAAATTTGACAAAAAGTTCACAATACCACCTGCCAAGATAGCAGACATGGAGACCGTCAAGTTATTGAAACCCAAAAGTATATCAACATTCTGTTAATAGGACCTATCCTATGTAATAAAAAGTAGGGCATTTCATTAAAAAAAGCAATTTTGATATGTGAGTCGAAACTAGAACACTATAATTGTGAATATTTTTAATGTCTCCAAGTATCATGTACCGGGTGTTTTAAATTCGACTGGGTATCGGAAACAATACGAGATACGGATTCGGTTAAGTGGGAACAGTTGCGCGTTTAGTCAACTGAGAAAATGCCTCTTAGAGTAGAGTAGAGTATTTTCGCGGTGATAGACGAAAGAAAACGAATCATTTTTATTTTTTCTTTATTTGCGATGGTTTTCAAAATAAAAAGTATATTGACTTTTTCTCCTCTACCAGGTGAAATAATTAGAATTACAATATGACGTTTCGCAAGACGTTACACCTCTTGTCTTCAATCGCCAACTTTATTTTTTCGTATAGACGCCATATTGTATTTTTGCACAGTTTTTGAATAGTTTCTAATTTTGCTTCCAGAAATTCATAAAGTGTCAGCTTATCACATCTTTATCAGACTAAACCACCTATGCTTCAATTTCCGAGAAACATGTTAAAGGACATTCAGATAATTTGTCTATTTATCGACTATAACAAGCGTTATACGATGGAGCGCTCTGAATGTGTAACACTTCCTTTCCGCAAAAAGTCCAGAAAAGATGGAATGCAATGAAGATTCCAACTTTTCTGCACAATCACAGAAAGGGGGTTACCATTAGCTTCCGGTAGCTCAGTCGGTGGCATGAAGACATCCACAGGCGTGTAGCTGTGTGTCGACCATGGCATGGCTAGAGGATAGAAGAACAAACAGAACACAAAAATTTAACAGATTTTATTTAACAAAAAAAAAAGCATTTTCATTACATTACAATTTTACAGTTTTAAAGAACAAAATAAGTTTTACATTTTTGGCGCTGCTATAAAACTATCAACTTATCTTTCGCTGGTCCATTTTGACTCGACTGAAGCGAGGATGGCCAGGTGCTTGAAGTGGAGGTCCCAGTTATGAGGGGTGACCTCACATATAGTGGCTTCATAACCAGTTGTAGGTGAAGTTGAACTTAAAGGCGATGGCGCTGCCAAGGCACATGCATGGGTGAAGTGATAGGCCAAGCAACGCAAAGTCAAAGACTAAGGCAAAAGCAAAGTCAAAGACAAAGGCAAAGGGAAAGGGAAAGAGAAAGAGAAACTGAAAGAGAAAGAGAAAGGGAAAGAGAAAGAGAAAGGGAAAGGGGGTGGCCCCAATCTGAAAAAGAACCGTGTGCATTAGCAACGTGCCCTAATGGCTAAGGCATTTCCAATCTCAGTCTGCCTCAAAAGAGAACCAACGATTTTCTAGGTTAGAATTACATTACATAGTTTGATAAAATCAAACCGAAAATTGGAAATGCCTTTCATAAAATAAAATCATGAAATAGCAAAAAAAAAGCGTAAAACAAGATGGTGGTCATCAAAAATTTCTCCACATGCTTCTGATATAAAAACACAAATATCGAATAGTCATAATCAACGTACTTATAATTTCACTGAACTATGAATATATATACGCACACAGAGGTAAAATCGATGTGGATCGATTTCCACCACGATTTGATTAAAGTTATGGCGAATGATCGAAGTAGTCGAAAATGGCGTTCGATGGATATTTTAAAATCGTACAAGAAATAAACCACTTACATATCGATTATCTATAAACTACAGGCAGATCCAGCAATAAAACTGTATAGTATTAAAAAACTCACCATTTTGTCCTATACGGACAAACATTCTACAAAATTCTAGCACATGGTGCTATATGACCTTGTGCTACAGAGAAGAAAATTCTTAGCTCTTGTTCGATCGGCGGCTCAAGTGAAAAGGAAGCGCGAGGAAGATCGCAGATCAGGAACTCCGCTTCAAGCGGTCCAAGCGGAAAATTTTCCAAGTAAAAAAGCTAGAGATGGGATTAATGAAATGATAATCGAGAAGTGATTTAATAAATACGATCGGACGGTGAAACCGTTACAAATGACACCTCAACCGTCATACATTGGCATTGCCAAACCTTAGTTATTTAAGAAAAACAGAATTTCCGAAGTAGGCGTTGAAATTATTAGATAGTCATTTGTTTTATCGTATCATCAGCCAGGCATTCTTTCAGAACTAGGCATAGATTTTTTATGATATCGTATCATGATATGGATTGGTATAATAAAACTTAAAATATCTGACAAAGTAATTTTCCTATAGTTTGTTTTAAGTCGTAGAATAATGAACAACCTAATGCTAAAACTTTCTGATATTATTTAAGGGTCTTATTGTAAATATTGAAAACAATATTATTTTATTTAACTGATATATTTTGTAGTAAGTAAAAGCCTCGACAATTTTGCAGCTTCCTAAACATATTTCATATCCCTCATATATAAAAAGATACACACATCTTGTACTCAAAAACTCTTAATCTAGGGCTGATTTGTCATGTAGAGCCCCTCCATCCCGCTAAAATAACGCTTGTTATAATTGATAAATGGGCAAATTATCTGGATGTCGGATAAACATGTGATAACTGTCATTTTCAAAGCTAACTATAACGATATTAGTTATTTCGAAGTAAATTTGGTTTGTCAGTGTCAATGTATGACATATCATACACTTTTAAGAATAAAGTTTAGATTGAGGATAAGAGACGAAACGTAATATTGAACTTTTAATTATGTCATATTGTAACTTTCTAAGTTTTTTTTTAATTTGACACACGGCATAATAAATGCTGAATAGTTTTTTTTTGTTTTTATACAGGAACAACACTCCGTTCTCACACGGTTGAGATGCCATGTAGTTGTAAGAATAAGTGGTTGGCAGTGCTACGGTACCTAAAGGTTTTTTGACGGTTCCTGGTGGATCACAGTAAAACTATGGGAATTACTGAACTCACTTATTGAAAGTACAAAGACTTGCTTTCCTGTCGATAACGGGTGTAATGAAAATCGCTCTAACTGCTGGGCCTCCCACCGATACAATATGTAATAATCGGGGAGGCGAGAATGGGCTATCACAGCCTAAAGGAAAGATATGAGGACCTTGGACATAACCAAATAAGGAAACATGTGGGAAGAGACATCTCAATGGGAGAAAAGACCACATAGTTCCCAGATTTGTATTCAATCAGAACTTCGATACCAAAATAGGAGATACAACGAAACACCAAGGGCACAACTTACAAGGGGAAATTACCTGGTACACTGACGGGTCAAAAACTTAGCAGGAAACAGGTGCAGGTATATATGGGAACAGGTGCAATACTGGATATAGAGTACCGTTTGGAAGACACATGTCTGTATTTAAGACAGAAGTGTATGCAATCTTGCACTGTACAAGAGTAAATGGTAAATACCAATAAGAACTTAACACACTGGCGAACAGAACAGAGTAACGCTGATGTGGTTGCCAGGACATTCAGGTAACGCGGGAAATGAGACAGATGAGCTCACAAGAGAAGGGTCATCCACACTCTATACAGGCCCGGAACCTGCCTTGGAGGTGACAAAAAGCACAATAAGGAACCAAGTCAAAGAATGGGTAAAAAGCCAGCACAAGGAACATCGGCACTTGGTGACTGTATGTAGGCATGGGAAAGAATTCATCTCGGGACCATGTCATGGAACCTCTCAATGAGTAGAAACTAACTCCGTACAGTTACAGGACTTCTAACAGGACATAATGGCCTGAAAGAATACCTGAGCAAAATAGGGCTGTAGGGTGGAGACCTTGGCTGCAGACAATGCGGAAAGGGAACAGAATCAACCCTACATGTCTTATGTAAGTGCGAGGCGCTTGATCACAAAAGATATCAACTCTTCGGGAAACCAAAATTAGAACTGAGGGAGTTTAGAACAGTATCTGCGGGAAAACTGTAACATCGGGTTCAGAATACTAGACTGCTGGATTGGATACTGTAAATTCGAGGAGCAAGGCACAATAAGCCCTAGAGGCTGCAGTGGCATCGGGGATGGCTCCCGGAAAGCGAAAAAAATGAGAACTACTGTCATACATCCATCAACATACGTTTTTTTAGGATTGTCGCACCACGTTGAAAATGATCTTAGCAGCATACGAGTCTTTCACATTTATGCTTGTTACTCTCAGTTATTGACAGCTTCGTTCTCATGGGTGCGCTATTCGAATTCACCTTGATCTTCGACAATAAAACATAGCAGTGTCTGAAGGTACAACTGCATGAATACAACTTTCTATCACCCAATTCATGTGTGTGTGCAAGAAACAGTACCAATTGAGTTGAGAATCGGATTCGGGACTGTGCAATGTTCCTTCGGGAAGTTACGTTCCGCACATGGCACAGTTAATTAATCTGTTTAATTATCTCTAAGGACCTTGAAAAGAACTATATCCTTATTTTCGAGTAGGCATAGTTTTGAATTGGATCGGATATCTTCTGGCGGAATATGTTAATCATTGGTAATGTAAATTGATATCGTTGTACGCGTATAAACTTTCATTTTTCTATTTAGATACACTCCAGTATTAGATTGCCACACCGCTCACATAGCCTGCAAATTTGCCGAGATCAAGGAGAAGTGCGACCGCCGTACAGGCAAAACCACCGAGGAGAATCCAAAGGCGATCAAGTCCGGCGATGCTGCAATTGTCAATCTGGTACCAACCAAGCCGATGTGCGTAGAATCCTTCCAGGAGTTCCCGCCGTTGGGCAGATTTGCCGTCAGGGACATGAGACAAACGGTAAGAAAACACGTACAACTGGTCAAATTCGCTAGTACACAATTTATTTTTGCTGTTTAATGGACTGGTCGGTGAGAGAGGGGGAGCGAGAGAGGTGGAGAGAGAGAGAGAGGGCGAGAGAGAGGGAGGGAAGGAGGAAGAGAGAGAGAGGGAGGGGAGGAGGGAGAGAGAGTGGGAGGGAGGGAAGGGGGAAGAGAGAGAGAGAGGGGGAAGAGAGAGAGAGAGAGAGGGAGGGGGGGAGAGAGAGGAGGGGAGGGAGCGAGAGAGAGGAGGGGAGGGAGAGAGAGAGGGACAGAGAGAGAGAGAGAAAGAGTGAGGCATTTCTTACCCAAGCTACCAAAATTGTCGTTTGTGCTCTTCACATATGATTATTTATCCGTTTGGATATACTGCGCCATTTTCATTGTGATGTTTTCATTATTTTTGGGGTCTATTTGCCCCACTACACTGGCTCGCCTATCATTTTCCCCCTGGCGGTCAATTCTTCTTCAATGTCCCATGGGAAATGATTTCCAAAATTTAACAGTTGTTGACGTTTATCAAACACGTTTGTGAATGCGTCCTGCTCGGCAAAATGATATATTCATAGGTTCTTCATATTACTTAACGTTTCATCACAACGTTAACTTCGTCTCTAGTGATGGCGCTGATGGACGAGGACGACGGCTAGACTTCAGCACTATTTCTTCCGATAATAAGTCTGGAAGGAACGCTTGTATCAGTATTCTGGCATACAGTTTCCGGAAAGTAATTTAACCACGTCCACTGTCTATAATTCACTGGTGTAACGACGGGGCCTGCCGCCAGCATTACTTCGTCAGTTTACGCAACGCTGAAGCATCAGATCACTTTTGAGAAAATTAATATTATTTGCCAGGAGCAAAGTGCATAGTGGGGGAACTAGATCGATCGACACGGACCCGGTCGACAAAAAGAGAAATATCGTCGACCTGCTAGTGGAATATAGGCATGGTCCCTACTAAACGATACGATACTCGGGGCGTAAATACTCCGTTTGAATAAAAGATATTAAACTTGTGTAAAACAAAGAATTACAGATGAGATGCTAAAGCTTTTTCCAAACCTTAAAAATAGCCAAGGTTACATCAAATTTTGCTGAAATCAGCCGGATTTGGATGATTTTTTAGTAAATGATGATCCTCTTCTCCAGTAAGGTGTTACTACTACATGTTAAACGGTAAACCCATTAAGCAGCTATTAGAGCAATTTAAATTGAAACAACGTGATTATATTGCCTTTTCTCATTTTTTGTTTGTTCCTTTTCATTCTTATGAAGCCTCGTGACGTTCATGCAACACATACAACTATAAAAGGAGTTCACAACGTGACCATCAGCTAGTGCTAAGTTAACATCTTGTAGAAAAACCTGTCACAAAAATCGATATAAAATCAAAAAACATCGGCATAATGTCACTTTTCAAGATACTTAATACCCGTGCCGCTTTCACACATGAATCGTTAAACGGAATGCCCTTTTCGAGCAACCATTGCTGCATCTCACTTTTTCGTGATCCCATATTTGGTACACGTTCGGCTCGACGACTGTGGTAGGAAGCATTATCCATGACGATCACAGAGTTGGGTTCAACTCGCTGAAGCACCCCTTGAAAGCAGCTGTTAATCATTCGTCATGGTAATCACCTCCTTTCTTACAAACGAAAGTTGCATCTTTCTAAAAGTCCACTACCGCTGCCAATATGTGTAACGATCAATCTTTGACCTTTCCCTGACGGTGTATGATGTGTTGACGATGCTTGCTTGTCGGTTACTTAGTACATTTTTGTCTATCCAGGTTTTTTTTAACTGACCTGCGTTTACCCACGTCTCGTCCAAATAATATATTTTTCTGTTTTATCATCTATATTCAGTTATTGCGCGTAGGTATTTTCAATGACACGCGACTATCTCAGGCTTCTCTGTCAATCCTGACTTCCGATTACGCGTTTCGTAACGAAAATTAAGTTCGATTTTCCTTAATACTTCGACGCTCACTGAGGGTATAATGTCATTACTCTTGATCTTTGCATGTATAGCCTTAAGGGTTGGTAGCACATTCCTAAAAAAGAATGAATGTACGATTCGTCTTAACGCCATTTTGCTGTCGTCATTTAGTTTAATGGCATTTCTTCCCTTCAAATGGAACTTTGGATCAGCAGTAGTAGTCCAGTTTTCTTCTGTTCATGCACCACCCTGCGAACATTCCACTGTGGGACGCCTGTCATGCTATCGCAACACGTAAGTGCATCTCACTGCGACATAGTCTTGAACACGTTGAGCACGATTTCTTTCGCATCTCTTTTCAGTGCCTTACGAAGCTTTCTACTTGTTCCCTGGATTTCAGTACTTCCACTCCCAAACCCGAACAATAACAACAGAACTAACCAAACAACAGTTCTAACAAAAAACAATATCACGCGGTAGCCAGACTCTCAACGAAATAAGTTCCAAGCACTATACGTCTACGACAATGTATGATCGGGCGATCGGGCCTTGTAGCGTGGAAGTGTTGAGGCGTCATCTGATCTCAGGACCGGAATCAGTTTTCATTCTTCCTTTCAGTTTAATTATGGTAATATTCATGCACGTTCCTTACTCTTAGCATGTTTTGACTGATTTTAATGTTTTATTACAATCCAGCACGATATAAAAGTTAGGCACAGGGTAATATCGCAGCGCAATGGTGGGCGGCCTTTTGGGCGCTGGCCAAGCAGTTTGAAAAGAACTTCTCACACATTAACCTTCCACCACTTACGTGACACGGATGGAACGATTGTATTTGACTCAAAAGCCAAGGCGGAAGTGCTTGCAAACATCTTTGCTGCCAACTCCACCATGGCCCCCCCCCCCAAAGCACAAGTGCCGTCAATTCAAAGGGTTCCCTACACTATGCGGGAAGTAACATTCAGGCATAAGACCGTAAGACAAGTGCTCTTGTCGCTCGACATCAACAAATCTTCTGATTCGCACTTGATTCCTGCTATTGTACTGAAGAGGTGTGCAGCGGAGCTTGCTCCAGTTCTTTCGCGTCTCTTCCAGATATCTTATGAATCCGACACCTTCCCAGAAAACTGGAAATTCGCTCATGTCCAACCCATCCCAAAAAAAGTATCTAAGACCGATCCTTACAACTACAGGCCTATAGCTCTGCTTTCTAAGTAAGGTGATGGAGAGATGCATAAATCGCCAGCTTCTGGACTAGCTCGAACGTCACAGCTTGATTAGCGACAAGCAGGCGGTCCGTCGGCGATCTAGCTCTCTTCTACCGCTACACCAACGGGCTTTGCTCCTCAGAGCTCTCTTCCATGATGCCGCCGCGCAATGTGCCTCCCAGACAGACCCGCCTGACTTTGGCCTCCCATCCTAACCGTGTCGAACTTCGTACATCCAGAACTGGCCGATACGACCACTCCTTTGTCCCGAGGGAGTCGAGATTGTGGAACAATTTACAAGAGGAAGCTTTTTCCAATTCTACTAACCTTGGGCCGTTCAAAAATCGGATTAACAAAATTTCTTTGGGATCATCATAGCAGCCGCGGTGTCCCGGCATTCAGGCTGCTGCCTGCGCGGCTGCTTCGGTATAAAAAAAGCTACATGTTTTGCTTTCTCAAGTTTCTTGGTGTACAACCAACTGTTGGACTGACAAATGAATTTGCCTAATTCTTTTATTTTACGTGATCTTTCCGTTTGCAGAGTGGAGCCCTCTATGAGTTACAAAGATATTTGTTTTGCTGTTTGAAACGAGGCGACTTTTTTCAGAATTTATGATGAATCCTGGTTTCTCTGTCTACCTGCTAATTTTGTTGGAAAAACTTACTCATAACGGTCCATACTGTGTTGCGTGAGTTTTGTCTGTTGTCGCTCTCATGCAGGAATCCTCTGAGTGCTATAAAAAACGCGGAGTCTGAATAATACTGTAAGCATATTACTTCTGCGCCTCCCTCTTTTTTGAGTTGAGCTACGGGCCTAACTGGATATTTCCGGACTGGGCTTTTCTGCTTTACATTTTCGCGGTCTTATTCAATGTTTTAGTGATCAAATACCATCTGTTAGTTGAAATACCATGCAATAGATCGGTAAGGATACTACTGGCATGAAGCAAGTGAGGTAACAGTAGGCAAGATGGTTTTCAATTTGGTACTTAGCGAAAATGGTTTTAAAAATCGTCGATGACACTGCACATCTATAAATTATTTAATTTGCCCATAGCATTTGTTTATGAATTCCTACCTGGTATCAAATACCATATGCAAGGTATACGGAGCCGACTTCTCGGCATTTAGGTCATTAACAGAATAGCCAAAACTTGCTTGACAAAGAGAGTTGCTTCATCTAGAAGTACATTATCATGTAAAGAAAGGACATCGTCTGTCCTCTTATTGTTTAATTTATTATTACCATCAGGTGACGTGTTGTTGGAGCCACGGTCAACATTCCAAGCGTGCGCAGTGACTTGCAAGAGATGGTCTTATTGGCATAGCGTGTTGCTCGAACAGGTGTGTTGCCGTACAGGCGACCATCAGAGTAATTATGGAAGCCAACCATATCGTACAAGGTACAAATATGTACTTGAATGCCTGCTCGAGGCTAGAGGTCTAGAACCATTTCCAATATAAAAAGCTTTTTCCTCATTTCCTAGATTTTTAGCATAACGTGGCAACATCGTAAATCTACCTGTGCATCTAAGCACGGTAGTGGATTTGCCTGGAAACGCTGGGATCTTGCAGTTTCGAACGCTGGATCGCCGTGTTATCGAAAACTTGGTCGTCGTTCTGTGTTCGCCGGGACGTTCCTGAGCATTTGGACATGACATGCGAACGTGCAGTTCCGTCAATTACCGTGTTGTCGAAAACAAGGTCGTCATTGTCGGTGTTCGCCGAGACGTTCAAGAAACGGTCTACACTCTCACAGTATGTTGATCGAATAACTGTGGTGCTGTGCAGACTACCATCTCAATAATTGTATGAACGCATCGTATCGTACAGGATACGGTACGTACTTGAGTGCCTGTTCAAGGCTGGAGGCATAGAGCCGCTCGGGCTGTGATGCTTCTCCCTATATGTAGAGGTTTTTTCCCTCTTTTCTAGATTTTCCACGTGGCAATGAGGATTGCCTGTACGTATTTGGGCGCTTGTTCAAGGTTGATGAAGACCGACAGTCGCTCGGGCTATGACCCTTCTTATATCTAGAGGTTTTTCTCTCTTCCAGATTTTTCACCAGAAGTGGTATCGGTGAGGTCTGCTTGTACGTACTTGAGTGTCTGCTGGAGGAATAGAGCCGTTGGGCAATGGTCCTCCCTACATCTAGAGGATTTTGCCTCTTTTACGGAATTTTCACAAGATGTGGCAACGTTGAGGTCCGCCTGTACGTACTTGAGTGCCTGTCCAAGGTTAGAGGCATAGAGCCGCTCGGGCAATGGTCCTCCCTATATCTACAGAGTTTTCCGTCTTTTCCGGAATTTTCACAAGACGTGGTATAGTTGAGGTCTGCCTATACTTATCTGAGTGCCTGTCCAACGCTCGGGCAATGACCATCCTTATATCTAGAGATGTTTTCCTCTTTTCCAGATTTTTCACAACGTTGAGGTCCGCCTGTACGTACTTAACTGCCTTTTCCAGTCTGGAAGCCTAGAGCCGTTCGGCACGGGTATTATGTAAATCCTGTAAAACATCAAAAAACCTATAAGATATCATCTTGCAGACTAGGTAGTTTTTTAGGGCGCAAACAGGCATCCACGTTTGCTCACTAGGATCGTTGTGAACGTCTATCTATGGAGGAATGACTACACGCATTATTGGTTGCATATGTTTTGTGAGGCCGTAGCTTTTATCTCTGAGAAGTTGGTTGAATAGCAAGATCGCTTCTGGATGATTAAGTGTATTGCTCTGCATGTGTGAGAAAATCATTAGTGAATATGCTGCCAATGAAATATATCTGTTAGCTGTGCCCGACGAGTTATTTGTGTTGTGCTTTCTGAAGAGAGGTTATGTTCAAAGGTATAAATTACGAAAAATTGAGGACAATTACGGGAAATCATCACCGCGGCGCGTTGTGTAATTACTGTTAGCATGTATATGGCTTGTAATTCGACAGTGTACAGTGAATATAATTAATTCTTATTTCTCTCATGTTTGAAATTCATCAGATTTGTATAGTATGTAATTTCCAGAATGGATAAGAAAAAGTGGCTGCAACACTAATTTCTAGCTTCGAAACTCAATTAGGTGTATTTGAGATAAGAATCCAATGGAATTATCATCAACACGTACAACTTATAGCTTAGATCTCCAGTAATGCCATCTCTGAAGCAGATTTTACATCACATCAGAACCAAACATTGATAACACGTACAACTACGTGCTAAGTTAACATCTTGTAGAAAAACCTACATAACGTCAAAAAAAAACAGTATAATGTCAAAACAAATCGATATATCGTTATTTTAGAAGATACATGATACCCGTGCGGGGCAATGGTCCTCCCCGTTCCTAGACATATTTCAGAGTTGTCACAACACGTGGCAACTTTGAGGTACGCCTGGTGGTTTGAGCGAATGCTGGAATGCGCAAGTCCGAGCGGCGGCCGACGATACTGGGTCGTGAGTCGTGAGCGCCCCACACCACACTGACGCCCAGTTTATTTAAGGCTATTACTGGCTAAACTGAGAACAGCGTTACGAATTTTATATAATAGTTAGTGCTTTCCTGCTGTGGCAAGGGTGTCCTATGGGTTTACCTGAAAAAATAAAGATTAACGGCGGCGAAACTCACTAACGATGTGCACGCACCACACACTAGAAACGAATGAGGACATAGGCGGAGGGGAAGTGAGAAGGCGGCATGCTGAACGTTTGACTCTTTGAAATATGTGATGTACCGTACACTTTGTAAATATCTTCGAGGTGCACACTGAAATATAATGTTTTCAAATTGAATGAGTGTATTTAATAGAACTCAATTGTTTTGCCGAATCAAACCACATATGTCTTAATTTCTGATAATTTTTAAAATAATTTAATGTAATCTACTGTCATTCATTTTCATTCTAATTGAGAAGGGCTACAATGCTGGCCGAAACGTTATACATTAAGTACAATTAAATTAACACAAAAGAGGCAAAATGTTACCTATGATAGCAAAATCCAAATATCCAAAAGCCGTGACAACTGGCGCTTATTATTGAAAATCAGTTCTAGCCCTAATTTACGTAAGTTAATGTTTGGTAATGTTAATGTTTGTGTTCAGTAGGTTGATTCTCGCATGCGATTCTTTTAATCATTAATATATCATATGTCATTTTTTATTGCAGGTGGCTGTGGGCGTGATAAAGTCGGTAACATTCAAGGATACTGCTGGTAAAGTAACGAAGGCCGCCGAGAAGGCGCAGAAAAAGAAATAACTAGCCGTGGCAGTCCATGTCGTGGTGCAAGATGGGCCACACCATTATTCATATGGTTGCGGCTGCCCTTGCCCACAGCAACGCAACTATTTCCATCGCAAAGAGTTTAGGAGGAAAAATACCGAGGTCATTCTACTACCAGCACCAACACCTGTACTACTATTATTGGGATATTATTACTATTATTCGCGTATCATCATCCGTTACTACCTTTTCTTAGTTATTATCATTCGTTCGTCTACACCTACTTTTTCTTGTTCATTTTTATAGTATATAGTGTGCATGGAACGCGAAACAAATTCAAACAGGGTTTTTTCAGATTTGTATGTAAGATGACGTAGGATTTTTGTTGAAAGGTGAAACATTTTTATGCTAAAAAAACTTCCATACCAATTTGGTGATATTTTACTTACAACTACGTCGCTTCTGTGATCTCAGAGTTACCATTATCGCCATCAAACTTGTTGGAACATATAAACGTTTATTTGACGTAATATCGACGTTTCAAGCGATCTAAAGGTGATTGTATTTTCAGTGGTCATAACGTGTCTTTAACACTGACAGAATGTGGCAAATATATGATCCTGCAACCATATTTAGGAACATGAATTCTGGACCTAGTACACCTCATGCCTTGTTTATATGTGGCAGTTGGTGCAATGGAAAAAGGTTTATGGAACGTTTCATGAACGTTTTTTTCTGGACCTACGGTATTCCACGTAGTTTACCACTTCACGTTGTTGTAACGTTTGATATACGTTTACATGTTGACATGGCATTTGTTATGTCGTATTTTCTGGCTAAATTGGCTCTTATACTATTAACCTCTTGTAATACCGATGCCTTGATTTAGATCAAGAAACTGGCTTACCCAGGTCAAGTAAACTTTTGTCGAGAAAATGTCTGAACGTTCCTATCACTACTGTACTACGTTTTTATTGGATGTAGCTATGAGGTTTTTATAATATCATTTGGAAAGAGCATTTCTGATGTCATAGGATAAGTTATCTTATTAGAAGTTAAGTTGTTGATTTTTGTTTTTTTGTTAATTAATGAATGATAGACTTGATACAAATTTATGTAATAAGCTTCTCTGAATAATCAATAAAAGAAGCTCATATGAATCCGAAATAGCCTATTTATTATCGTCAATTATCTACAAGACACCCAAAACCGCGCGTTCTGCCGCATTATATATTACGGGGTACTTTTCCTCACATAACTCAAAAACTGCTGAAAACTGTGTGCCTACTGAGCGGTACGGTCCTATCTTTTTTCTAGAACAAGCCATTCACAAAGGCAAATAGCAGATAAAACATCCGTCATAAAGAAAAGGCATAGTCTGCTAAAACGATTAACGATACCACTTTCCGGCAAGAGCATTACGAGGATGCTAGAAACTCACTTTTTCTCATTTTTTTCAACCCATCTCCCTTTTACTTTTTATTGAAAACATTCACTATTTTCGCTCTCGCTGTACATATTGTAGTTTATGAACGAAGGAGCTGTCGTACCTTCTCCCCAGCCCTACAAAATTAAATGAAAATTCTTTTATAAAAATTAACTATGACAGAGTTGTTCTTGTACAAGGTTGTCCTCAAGCTAAGCCAATATGTATTACATGAGAAATTACTAGGGTTAGTTGAAATCTTCGTTGAACTTTAATTAAAGTTTGCTAAAAGCACTCTATATGCAGGGTGTCCGCAAAGTTGAGGTTTTCCTTTACACGACGTATAGATCTTGAGAAAATAAGCGGATTTTCTTAGTTGCATATACACCAATGTCTTGAGAGAACCGAAGCCGGTCGTATCTCTCGATCACGTCCACAACGCCAGCGTAGAGTTATACGATGTACGACTACGATGTAACTACGCTAGTATGCAACCTAACCTAGACGCCGGTATTGTACATTGGTAACCGATTGCTGTTCAAAAAATAAAAAAAAAATGGTTTACTCGTACACCAATAGCGAACTAGTCGACATACTGTTAATTTACGGTGAATGTCTTCAAAATGCGACCGAGGCTTCACAAGTGTATGCAGATCGTTTTCCCAGACGTCATCATCTAATGCTCCGTAGATTTGTTTACCTTGTGCAGAGACTTAGGGATACGGGTCATTTAGAGGAATGTCGAGGTGAGACACTGCACAGTGATTCCTCCATAGGTCAAAAACTCATGAGTTTATAACGGTCTAAATGAGTCGCTAAGTTATCGAGGCGCGAGGCTTTTAAAAAATATGAATAACAATGCACGTAGTTCATACGGTCATTTACTTTCGTCCATGGTAAGTGAAAGCTCGAGTCTAATTACTGGAACATGTAAAAGTCATTGCAACTTACATACTTTTGATTGTGGATTATGGAGGTGCAGGAATATGGTATGTACTCTCATTATTTTCCTGTTTTGGAGTTATATAATTTTTTTTTATACTCCAACTACCACGAAGGCCTAAGCACCCATTGGGTACCGTGGGGCTATAGGGGGATACATGGGAAAGGGGGAACGCCACACGGACTCTGGCGAGGGAACACGTGTGCATGCAACATGCACATTCTGGCTCCGCCTTCGAGATCCGCCGGGTGGTACCTCCGCGTTCGACAGTCAGAGACCACCTACGGAAAATCACATCCATAGCCAAGAGAAAAATTTCTCTTCGGGACGGGACTCGAACCCGCACAGAGCACGGCGACTGATCAGGAGACCGAAGAGTCTACTACTGCGGCCACCGCTGCTGCCTGCCAATTTTTTTATGAAAAGTTGTTTTTGCTACATTTTTTTCTTACAAAATTAATCCATTTCGAGTTACAAACTTTTGGCTGCGCCTTGCTGCAGCTGAGATAAATATTATCTTAAAGTGGAGAATGTCTAGATTAGGGGCATATAGGTTTCATCTGCATCTTGCTGCTACTTCTTACGTTTGTGAGGTGCCGACCCATATACAGGGTGACTTCGAAGTTGAGTCATTTATTTTAACATGTGAGTAGATCTGATCAAAAGAAATGTTTTTTCCTTTACCATTTTTCTGTTAAAATTAAAGTAACAAAGTTATAGCCCTTTGGAAGTTTGAGTACCGCCCTGTCTCAATGATAATATTATGTGCTCGTGTTTGGCAACAACGGATATAATCCGCCATCGGTTCATCGCATCGGAAACAAAAAAGCGAAATAATTTGGAACGATGTTTTTACAATTATTTTATTCAGTTGTATACAGTCAGTGTCAGTCGGTAACGCGTGAGTCAATAGTGGTGTCTGTTGCGTGGCTCAAACGAAATCAAAAATGGCACATGTTTACGAAAATGCTGAACTTGTGGACATGATTCTTATTTACGCGGCATCACGGATTTTTGCGGATCGGTTTCTCAATCGAGTGCAACCAACCCCTCGTGCCTTTCTGAATGTAGTACAAAGGGCTCGTGAATCAGGTGACTTAAGACCTCAGAGGGGAGGGCATGCCGGATGCCGGTGCTCCAAGACCACACGATCAAATACAGGTCCGCACTGAAATACTTGTCGGGAGGATACTTTATAAAACAAGGTAACATTTTTTTTAATTTTTTTTATTTTTACACACATATTTTGGTTTATCTTCCTTCTACAATCATTATCTGAAAATTAATGACTCAACTTCAAAGTCACCCTGTATACGTTCATAGAACAGAAAAAAAGGTGTTTTCCAAATCCAATTTTGTTGTTGTTTTAGGTAAATTTTTTAAGTATTCTGTTTCGTGGAGGACTATTTTTGATATTTGGCACTGTAAGGAGGGTAGTGCCAAAGAAAAATTGCAATATACCCTGGACACGTTGACTGAAACGTCCTGTCTTTCAGATAACATCGTAAATGTTGATTTAGAGAGATAAAATTAGAAATGTATGTAAACGAATTCCACATTTTTGCGTAAAGTCAAATCGCTCTAAATATAAATTGGTAGTATTCAGATTCGCTAAATGTAGTTGAAAATATTGATATACCGCGATGCATTGAACAATTTAATGATAAGAAACTGTCAACATCTTCGCGTGTTCGGGAACGTCCGAGAATAGACTTTGATGAAGCCAGTCAGTGAACAAAAAGAAGAAGGTTGAATGAGTTGTCTAATATAGATCCTTCTCTTGTAAGCACGTTAATTGATGCCCCAAAAAGCTCATCAACAACTAAAATCGACTGCAGCGAAGTTTTACCTCTCATTGTTTAAGCCAAGTTAACTCGACAACAATATTTATTAATTAAGAAATTTATCGACAATAAGGTCTCAAAAAATTTTTTTACCATCTTACCAAAGTGTGGTGGAATCTAAAAAACACTTATCCTTCCGATATCAATGTCACTGAATCAACTGTCGAAGTCGAACTTCAAAGCTTATTAGATCATACTGCTAATCGGATCCTTGAATCTCAAAAAAATATTTGTGAAGCGATACCTAACGAGTCCCTAGATCATCCAGCCGACGTCCCGCCAAGAACGTATCAAGTACATTCTAAGCATGTAACCCAATCAACGTACTGATAGAGATACCCTAATGATATTCATTTTATATACCACCAAGTGACGGTCAGCTAAGACCAAAAATGAGCCATCGAAGTTGCGTAAACCTGACATACCAGAAACGTCTGAACATCATTACGAGATAGAGAGGACGAGATAGTAAACAATAATGAGCACATTTCTGTTATACCTTATATTTATTTATCTAGAAATAAGACACTTTATAAGAAACTTTTATAACAAACCGAGCGAATTATTTGTATAAAATAAGAAATAAGCAAGAATGTCGACGTCCTAATATCTGATCTTCTCAAGCCTTCCATATTTGAGTTTTCATGAAGTCTATTTTTCGCCAGCATTTTTGTTTTGTTTTTCATGCATATACATTATTGACCATAATGCTCCCCCCTGACGCCCCTGATGCCGGAAAAGGCAACTTTTCTCTGAAAACACATACTCCGGGTTGGTTGTTTTCACACTTGACGTATCTGTTCGGATTGGGGATCGGTACATGGTTCATATCTTGTTCGTTCGCGATATACTTGTAGATAGCTGTATCTGCAACTCCTTGGCAGAGTCTCCTAAAGTCTTCTCCTTTCATCAAAACGGCTGGACTTCCATCGGCTTTCCTGAAAAAAATTTTTTGCTGTCACACCCAGATTGTGGTTGCGAGGTGCTTGGTGCCATAGGGTGGATTCACAATGAGGGTCCAGGGAGAGTTATAGCATAGTAACATTGGCGCAAGTGTCACATGATATTATCAAACAATATAATGATGGTAAATGCCTCTGCAATTATACTACCAATTTTTTATTACTTCCGGTAAGCCACAGAATTCCGTGGTGTGCTCGTCAGACATCCACCACTCTGTTTCTCATTCATCCTGTATAGCTTATGCTAATCCGTCTAAGCAAGATATTATTAATGACCTCAATAAAATACTAAATTATTCTAATAACAATAACTTGAAATATACAGGGTGGCCCAACGAAAAGGTCGCACCCCTATTTGAGACTCTCGTACATTTTGGGAAAAACGCTCGAACACGTCAATTTTGATTTCGGGGGGGGGGAACGTCTTTTCATTTATAGCCGTACAATAGGCGGAGCTCCAAAAATAAGATATTGCGATACAGATTTTTAAATGGAAACCCCAATTTTTTTAATTCTTAGATTTTCTGTGAGGTTTTTAGTAACTTTTGCATAATAAAGTTTATACCTATCTTCAATCGTTGTAGAGCTACTTGAGTTTCCATAGTAACAAGACTTTACTTTTAAATTAAAAACAAATCTCCGAGTATTAAAAAAACAAAAAACAACTTACAGCTTACACGCACATTAAAGTTAAAGTAAACATTAATTTGCTACAAAGGAGTAGGTCAATGTGGTAATAAGTGCTGAAAGCGGTGTGCATTTACTTCCATGCAATAATACATTTTGTTCAAATGTATTCCTCACATTTTCAAGCATATCTTGAGTTATTTTCTACATTTAGCTGTAATCGATGAGGTGTCTCGCCTACCGATCCATTAATTCGGGAAATGGTTCTCCAAAAACTGTCATACTGGAGCCACATAGTACGGCGGTTTTTTTTATACCGAAGCAGCCGCGCAGACAGAAGCCTAAATGGGGCGCGGCTGCTTTGATGATCCCAAAGAAATTGTGTTGCTAAGGTTAGCAGAACTAGGTAAAGCTTCCTCTTATAGATTGTTCCACAATCTCGCCACCCTCGGGACAAAGGAGCGGTCGTATCGGCCAGTTCTGGATGCACGAAGTTCTAAACATTTAGGATGGGACGCCAAAGTCAGGCGGGTCTGTCTGGCAGGCACACCGCGCGGCGGCATCATGTAGGAGAGCTCTGAGGAGCAAAGCCCGTTGGTGTAGAGGTAGAAGGGAGCTAGATCGCCGACGGCCTGCCGGTGCGGAAGGGTCCCGAGACTGTCTGTTAGAGAACAGTCATCGATCAGTCGGACCGCCCTCCTCTGGACAGCATCGAGCATAAATAATGTAGTCGGGGCGGCAGCACTCCAAACGTGTGACCAGTACTGGAGGCTAGGTCGTATCTGGGCCTTGTATAGAGTGAGGAGGTCACGCGGAGAAAATACTTCTTATCCCTCAACAAATAGCCTAGACTTTTTCCAGCAGCTACCGGTATTGACGAGATGAGTTCGTACCAGATCAAGCCCTCCGTGACCTGGACTCTGACCAACCGAAATGAACGTCTCTTTGGCAAGAGTTACTAAAAACTTCATGGAAAATCTAAAAATTAAAATATGGGGTTTTCCATTTAAAAACCTAAAGTGTAACGCAATATCTTATTTTTGGATCACCCTGTATTGTATAGATTAAAAGAAGTCCCCCTAGAAATCAAAATTGACATGTCCGATATACCAGGAGTTACAAATTTGGTGCGACCTTTTCGTTGGACCACCTTGTATAATATAAATAAATACTTCTAACGTTCTGTTATGGTTTTTTGTTTCAACAATAGTGGTAATAAATAAATACTGGAACTGAATATACTGGTGGACTTTCATTGCCGTTGAGGATACTGTTAAAAATTCAGGGTTGACTTTTGCTAGTTATCTGCACTTCAAGGGATACGCTTATTTTATTTGCCGAGGCAGTCGCGTAAGGCCTGAATATCGGGGTACCGCGTTTGGTTTAATCAGCTTTAAGACACTTTATTAATCCAATTTTAGAACTAGACAGCCGACGCATCCGAGTTAGTGAAACAGACTATTCTCCAAGGGAAGGTAGAGAAGAAGCGTGCGAGTCCCTCCCAGTCGGCATTCCGTAATGCCAAATTTTGCGGCCTGTGCGAGTTTCTGCTGAAACAGCGGGTTCTGACCGAAACCTAACCTCCACAACACAGTGGTCTGAGTTACCCAGGGGACACAGGACAGCAGAGCTGTAAGGGACAGGATGCGTCCTTAGAAAGAGATCCAGCAGGATACTGGCGTGTGACAAGACGCGGGGCAAAAAAAGTAGGGCCCGTCACCAGCTGGGTCAGCCCTTGGGTAAGAGCGAACGCTTCGACTGCACGGCCTGTTGCATCGGTCTTGTTTGAACCCAACCAAAGCAAATTATGGTCATTGAAATCACTGAGAAGAACTACTTCTGAAGCGGGGTGATTGATGTTCAGGAAGTCGATCTGAACGGCGAGGTATTCGAGTAGGTCATCCCAGTTATCATTCGAGGGAGAGCGATAAAGGCAGCAAATAAATTTGGGGGATGTTTTGGAGTTGAGGCGAAGCCACAGAATGTCCTTCCGGTCTGATTCCAGAGAAACATCTCTGCAGCAGGAAAGACTGCTGCGGACAAAGGCCACAACTCCCCCGTTTGATTGGATTGGATTGCACCTCGTAATTTGGTAAGCTAAGATGGTTAATCGGTGCGGACTCTGAGATTTTTGTCTCCGTCAAGAAAACCGCATCAATGTTGCTGTAAATCCCGTAGATCTTCGTGAAACACATTTTATCACCGATGTTGTTCTCATGAGTCTACCCTTCACCCGGAGATTCCGAGAATGACTGATGTCTAGAAGTTGATCTTGACTATTTTGCTTTATCTTTTTTAGTATATTCTACGTATAATCATTAAAAATGAAAGCAAAAACAAAAAGATGACATGTTTAAGATCAATTTGCATCCGTTCAGTGTGTGCGAATGTATTACAGAGTGCAATTTACTCTTCTGTAGTCATTCATCTACCAACTTTTGCATCCAATTTTAATGATACATTTTGAAGATTTAGAACTATGAAGTTTTATGCTATCCACGAAAGAGCTTACGGACGACGACAAAGCTTAGACATACATACATTATATATATATATATATATATACATTATTGCTCTACCTGCATATGATCTGATCATTGATAATCGACACGGAATTAGCACCCAAACAGATGTTGTCATTGATTATGGAATAGCTGGTGCGATGGTAACAGTTGTCCTTCAAATCCTTTCCTTCGTATGATACCAGCCTTCCCGAGCACTGGCCAGTATTATCGTCTATGGCACCTTCACATTTGGACCACGCTGAGTTTTGGATGAGGAATCGTTTTCCTGAAAATCGATATACAGAGTGTTATAGAATGTTGTTGGGAAAATTAAAGAACAGATTGCCAAGTGCCGTAAAATGTGAAAAAATGACCATACGGGTATAAAAATATATATAAAATCTCGAAAAATACGTTGTTGAGATAAATGTTGTAGAAAAAAGTTGTAAGGCTCAAAAAGGGTAATCGAATAGTGACCTTTAACGTGACCTTGACTACGATCTCTGAAGTCATTTGAAGTTCAAAATAGTTTTCTTACATAGTAAATCCTATTTTCAACACTGGTGCGCAAGCTCTTACGTTCAAGTAGCTCCTTGTTCATAACCTTAACTACGACCTTCAATGTCATTTTATGGTATGCAGAAGGTTTTTTGAGAACAAAATAGCCCGAAAAATATGCTACCTAGAGGAAAATGTTGGACAAAAAAGTTGCATGGTTTAAAAAGGGCCATGTAAAGGTGACTTTTAAAGTGACATCGATCGCCAAGGTTTTACGACACTCGAGAATTTAACACAACATAAAATTACTGTTCTGAAAACAAGAACAGGAGTATCTCATCACAAAAGCATTTGACATTTAAATGACCGTGAAGATCAAGTTAATGTGACGTTCAAGTGCATGATAGTGACTCTGACCGTTAAATGTTTCGATATTTATACCCCAGACAAAAAGTAAGTTCAAACAAATATCTGACCTTCAAATAATCTTGCAGGTGACGATCTGGTTTATTGACGACTTGTACGTGAAATTGCCCGTAGTTTGGACTCCACTAAATCCTACTGAGCGGAAATTGCTGTTTTCAATGTACAACTTCTTCCCGTTCAAGTGATTGTACACAGGTTAAGGAATACCTCAAGTTGCACCTCACTGTAGAGAACAGACAAGCTGACGTCGAGTCCAGAAACAAATATAACAAAGCAGTTCGCAATGCCAAAGACCAGCACGATATAAACGTTAGGCACAGGGTAATGTGGCAGCGCAATGGCAGTCGGTCTTTCTGGACGCTGGCCAAGCATATTGAAAGGATCTTTTTTCACCTTCCACCAGTTACTCGTCAGGATGGAACGATTGAAACCGACTCAAAGGCTAATGCGGAGCTGCTTGCCAAGATCTTTGCCTCCAACTACACCATGGACGTCCCCCGAATGCCCCAATATGTCGATTCAAACGGGTCCCTACACTATGCGGGAAGTGACATTCAGGCATAAGACCCTAAGACGGGTACTCTTCCTGCCGTTGTACTGAAGAAGTGTGCAGCGGAGCTTGTTCCAGCTCTTTCGCGTCTCTTCCAGATATCCTACGAATCCGGCACCTTCCCAGAAAACTGGAAATTTGCTCATGTCCAACCCATCCCAAAAAAGGATCTAAGAACTTACCGGTACGTGGCGATACACACCACCAATTCCCACGATTATCAGTCACTTATTTGAAACGATGCGATGCACGAAAAAAAAAACATCCGTAAATCACATAAAGTTACAGTTAAATGTATTAGTAATCACAACAACACGCGATGATACATGCAGTGCAAGCGGAGTACGACGTTGCCAGTTGTGTGAGGGATTTTGTTTGTCTATTTGTCTTCGGAAATTTGTATTTAATAAGAAAGAAAATTATTTTGTTAGAGACAGTTAATTAATAAACAGATGTATAGATACATTTTACGCTATTATGCATATGAATTTAAATTATTAAGGTGCAAAATTAATTTATTATAAGTTCAGCACTTTTTGCTCCGAAACGGTTGATTTTCAGACATAGGTTATAATGAACTTTTTGCTTAGAATAATGCAAGGAATCACCTCTTAAAGTTACGAATATTATTTCCATAACACCCTGTATATTTCCAGCAAAACGGCGCTCCTTCTATGGTCTTCCGGTTCGGCAATGGCTAGACGACGAGTTTCCAGATAAATGGATAGGGCAAAGAGGCGCGTATAGAATGGCCTGCTAAATCGCCTGATTTGACTCCATTAGACTTTTTTCTATGGGGCCATTTGAAATCTATTGTGTTTACTCCCCAACCTGAACATTTGAATGAACTTCGTCAATGCATCATCGAAAGCTGCTTTGATATCCCACAATATGTTTTTTAAAATGTCCGTCAGAAATTTGAGCATCGCCTATATCATTGTTTGGCCAATAACTGGCAACATCTTGAACACTTATTGAAATAAAAAGTGATATTTTCGTGTGTTTCTGTTTTCTATCTGAACAAATTAAGATAAATGCAGATTTTTCTAATCTTCTTGAAAAGGAATGGACCGATTTTAAGTAATCAAACGTCAAAATAAAGGGCTTCGAAAGATCATTCAAACAAGCTATTACTCGATATCCACTGTCATTTAAAATTTTTAAGGGGATGAACCCGGGAGGTAGAGGGTGAAAGGGGGTGAAGTAGTTTTTGGTTAGAAAGTTGTCCCTCTTGACAAGTCTTTTGATGTGTCTCGGCGTTTTTTTCTTTTAATCGGTAATTTTCGATAAATCCATGGTGGGAAGTTTTCAAATAAACACCATGTATGCGTAGAAAGCCATTGTTGGTCAGCTCTTATGGTGTGCCGGCAGCTAAATGGATCGACCGTTTTGGTGGTGGGACGTCGATCTGAGCTTTGCACAGAACGTCGCGCAGTTTTGAGCGTCTATAGCGTAAGGGTATTCCGTCATCTGCCAGCGTATGAGATGAGGATGAAGATCAGCTTGGCAAACCATCATGGTGCTCGTTTGTTCTTCAAATAACCTTGATGGCAATTGCCAAGATCATGGACATACTTCAACATAAAGTCTTATGTTCTTTACATTTCCGGTGTCACAAGAAAGGATTTCCATTTAACAAAACTGTCATGACGATCAAATAATCTTGAATGTCATAGTCAAGTTCACGTTCAAGGTCACCGTTCGTTGATACTGTCCAAACCTTACAACTTCATTCTGCTGCATTTTGCTTTATGAAACGTATTTTTCGAGACATTTTGATGTATCCATATTTTTGGACTGTATAAACATCAGTGCGGAGATGCTTCATTTACATAAGCCTTTCCTTCATTAGTAGTTCACTTTATATTCCTCGAAAACAGATTGAGACAAGTTTTCATACACGCAAATTTATTATCAAAATCATATAGTCAGTCGTTCCTACAATTGTAGGACGCTATTATGGCCTCCTTCATTTTCATAGCTTTTTCTCTCCCTCAAAAAGGCAGGGGTATTTCTAGATTTCTATTGTTTCGGGTGAAGTTATGTTTTCTTTTTGAATTGCCGGAAATTTCAGGCCGATAAAACATGATATAAATCAAAAGCATGCACAATTTGATACAAATAGATATTTGTAACATAACCTCAAAGTAGAGCGCTGACACGGAACAGTAGAAAGCATGAAAATCGAGGAGGCCATAAAGGCGTCCTACAACTGTAACAACGACTGACGATACGGCCCTAAAACACTTACATCAGTGGCGATAGCACCGGCAAGTTTCTTTGCTTAGCAAAAAACAATTCGTTACTGGAATTTGCAGATAGATGGGTTTCATGTTTATATGCACCGTTTGCTAAATAAAGACTATTGGTGTCACTGTTCACCTGACATATCACGATGATTGACCGCAACCTTCAATGAGAAACAGCTATTTTCTCCATAGGTAAACAACAATATCAAAAAGCACCTACCCATAGTTAAGCCATAAATGGCATTTGAAATTGTATTGTTAATTTCATCTTATCAGTCTGAGAACTGAATTTATATTTGGATATGTTTCAAAATGATTGAAAAATAAGTAATGGTAAATGTAGTTCCTCCTGTAGCGATTTAATATTGAGAAAACACAAGTTGCAGATATAATTAGATATAATTAAGCTTTTTGACGGGTGATGTTAACAAAATTGGCAAATTGTCTTATGACTAGTTTATATCAGATCGTAATCAGGGGATTATTTGACAGTGATAAATGCATATTATTTTTCAGATAAGGTTTTTTATATTAATGCGTTGAGTTTCTTCACATATCAATTTAAAATAGGTAAAAAGACTGAGATTCTCAATAGGTTTGTCGTGACAAAAATGCAAAAAAGCTATTTATTTTTAGGTCCGCTAAAACGATGCAAAGCAAAAGAAGTAGCCGATTCTCTGGGACATTCTACATTCAATGCTTCTTCTGATTGACTCAATACATTCAGAATGCGCCACAGTAGAAGTTTTAAAGCGATTTCGGGGGATGGAGCTTAGGTTAATCTTAAAGATGCTTCATCGCTTTTGGAAAAATGTCTTTCTTTGATTAAGGGATATTCTCCGAGGAACATCTATAATGCCGATGAGACACGCCTGTATTTTAGGGCTCTACTCGACAAAACGTTCAATGTGTTGTGAGTAAGTATAAATATAGGTTTACGATTTTGCACTGTGCAAATATGGCGGGTGAAAAAGAAAAACTCCTAGTCATTGGTAAGGCAGCTAAACCCTGAGATTATAAAAACGTTAACATAAATGACCTGCCTGTAATTTGAAAATGCAATAAGAAAGCTTGGATGACAAGTCAAATTATGACAAGAGTGGTGGCAAGACCTAGATTGGAAAATGGCTAAAGCAAAAAGAAACAATTTGTTATTTTTTGACAATGCGGGATCTCATCCATTCGCTAATACAATATAAAAATTTTATTTTGCCCCCTAATTGTACATCAGCTTGTTAACCACTTGATCGAGGGATTATAAAGAGTTTTAGAACTTATTACCGAAGTCTAATACTCAAACACCCGCTAGTAAACATTGAAACTGCTGCTACAGCTTTTGAGTTAATAAAGAAAATTACGCCATTATTTATTACCTTGATGAAACGTGGGTAAACGCAGGACACACTACAAGTAAAGTATGGGTTGATGATTCTGTAACTTCATCCAGGAGGGCCTTTCTAGATGGACTGTCCAGCGGATTAAAAAATCCAGCAGGTAAATACGAGTAATAGACAACAATCGGATGTTTTTCAAACCTTGGGAACAAGGTTCTAAACATTAATTCCAGGGGGCAGATAAAACATATTACAAGTAACAAAACTTTTATAACTTTCGATAAAATGTGTGGATGTTTTATTGTCATTTTCATTTGTTAGAACTTTTTTAAGCCATGTTTTTATGTGTTTTCGATATTTCAATAATTTTTAATATAATCTTAAAATATGTCGAATATTATAAAAGTTACTAAGTTTTATATTGTGTACCGTTCCTAATATTTCTAATCATTTTAATTCATACTTTAAGCTTTATAAAGTTATAATTTGTTAATATTAATATTTGCGCGTATTTCAGGTTCCTGATCATTCATTTTTTAAAGGTTTATAACTTTAAATTAAATTGTGAAGCGCTGAGTAATCATACGACGTTCAATATTCTTTCTTTCAATATGACTAAATAATCCCAATTATAGCAATCTGATACTCATGACTCAATGTTTTTTCGCTGAATGTGATGAAAACATTTGAAAAAGGTTCGCTTATTGAAATAAATCTACACCAGTTAGTACTTCGATTTCCAGGTAAAGGGAAAAGGCTCATTATCTGCCATATTGGCAGTGAGGATGGATTTGTTGTTGACGGTCCGTGGTGCTTTGAGTCTAAGAAAACTGGAGATTACCACGAGGAAATGAATGGCGAATCGTTTGAACAGTGGTTTTCAAAAATTTTACCGAACTTAGAGGAAAACGCAGTAATTGTGTTGGATAATGCGCCTTATCATTCTCGAAGAATGGAGAAGGTCCCAACAACGGCTTCAAGGAAAGTTGATGTTCAAAATTGGCTCCGCTCGAAAAATATCAACTTTGAAGAAGCAATGCTGAAAGTACAATTATTAAGAATTGTCAAGGATCACAAGGCGGAATATCAAAAATACGCCATTGACGAAATGGCAGCAAGTCAAAATAAAACTGTGCTCCTTTTCCTCCATACCATTGCGAGCTCAATCCCATTGAGCTCATATGGGCAGAGGTTAAAAATTATATAGCTAAGCAACAATACAACTTTTAAATTTTGTGACCTCAAAGGACTTTCAAAGAAGCACTAGAATTAATAACAGCGCAAAAATGGGAAAACTGTATTAAGCACGTGAAAGACAAAGTTGAAAAGAGAATGTGGGAACTGGACAATATTTTAGAGGAACAAGTCGAGCCATTCATTATTGACGTTGGTGCTTCAGGCAGTAGCGATGATGAAAGCTCATCAAGCTCATCTTTCCAATAAAAGATGTCGTTCATCAAATTCGGTAAGTTATAAGTAATTATAAAGCTACTGTATTTTTTAATTAATTATTGACATTTTTGAACCCATTTTGGCAAAACCTATTCAAGAATCTACTTTCTGACAATGTTCAGCCATGCACATTTTTTTACGTTTTGAACGTTTTAATTGTACATATGTACCTAGAAATCAAAAAATATACTAATCAATATTCTAAAAGCAATTTTACGAGATATACGATTATTTTTAATTTAGGCTAATTTAAACGCCATTTTGAGATTATATTCGACTGTATTTCACCAAACATCAGGCGGCATCCGAAGCTGGAAATCGAAGCGAAAATTTTGAAACCCTTATGTATATTTACATCATTATATATTTCTTACCCCACCCCCACATGATCCTATATCCATCACCAATCGTATACACATCGAATTGTGCTAATTTACTACAAAGTTACGCAAAGCAGCATCTACTATCTAAAATATGTACTGCGTGACTCTTAATACGTCCCTGCCGAATGTTACAGCGTTCGATGATCACGTGGTCTTGTTTATGTCTATCTCTTATCTGAACATACTGTAGATGAATGTTTGTATGTTGAAGATCCAGATTCAGGCCCAGAAATTGTAAATCCATTGTAACACAAGAACTTTCCGAAGATTCTGATGTCGATGAGGTTCCAGTACCAACAGAAGCTATTCCAAATATGGTGAAGCTATTAACCCGAACAAAGCTCAAAAGTTTTGTCGAAAATCAGGGAGGTAGGTTCAGAGTCTTAGGAGCTTCTTTGTAAATTAGACGCCATTTCAAAGAAAAAGATGAGACAAACGACAATATATGAATATTTGCGTCTTTATAGTGACTTTTTACTTCATGGTTTTGTATTACTACATATATGTATGTACATACATATACAGGGTGTTTCCCAACTTATCCGACAAATTTTACCCACATATGCACTGTTACGAATGAAGTTGATTTCTCAAAAAAATGTAATAAAAGTCCTACAGACATTAAGTTATAAACCTGAGTTTCAATAATAAATTGAAAAATAAATATCTGTATTTTGCGTTCATCGTCGTGATATCAGATCACGCATTAATAATTTATTGCAGCAAATGCTGTGCCAAGCAACTGAAGAAATCAAAATACCAGGAATTTTTTGTTTTTTCATACTGATAAGAACGTGTAAATAAGGTTTTATCTGTATCGTGGGTGATCTGAATGAAGAACGGTCGATTTTTGTGAAGTTAAATAAAAAAGTATTTTGCGAGTTTATGTTTTTAGTTATTTATTAATAAAAATGGAACATCTGTACGCTAATGAGGAGTTAGTAGACATAGATGCAGTGCAAAATTTGCGAGCAGCTTCTCGTTTGTATGCACACTGATTTCCACATCACGAAAAATTTAGTTCATTTGTTTTACGTGCACCTGCTAGTGGAGATTTGCGTCCCAGACGTGGAGTGAATGGGGGTCGGGTTCGCCCACAATGCGTTCTAAATGCCGAAGACGAAATTTTGGATATTGTGGAAGAAAATCCGGGAATAAGCACAGAGCACAGGGCAGTTAGCCCAACAGGTCCCAGAAGTGTCACATGCAACAGCGTGGCGCATATTACATGAGGCCCAACTGTATGCTTATCACATCCAGAGAGTCCAGGCGTTGCTACCTACAGACTACCCCCTAAGAGTAAGATTTTGTGAGTGGTTGTTGCAAGAAAATGCTCGAAATGCACGTTTTACAGCTCATACTTTGGCCACCCATGAAACTATTTTTACTCATAATGGGATAACCAATCTTCATAATACACACGTTTGGTTCTTTGAGAATCCTCACGCAGTGGTCCAGACACACTTCCAACATCGTTTTTCTTTAAGCGTGTTGGCTGGTATTGACGATGAACGTCTAATTGCACCGTTCATATTGCCAGATCGGATGGATGGTCACCAGTATTTAGAATTTCTTCGGAATGATTTGCCGGTCCCTCTTGAAGGTGTGCCATTGGCGGTCCGAGCACGGATGTGGTTTCTGCACGATGGATGGGGATACTGGAAATACGAGGTATACCGTACTCCAGTTCAGAATATTGAAGAATTGCGTAACCGAATCACAGTGGCTGCCGATAATTTTGAACAGCTTTTATGAGAAAGTGAACTGTTAAACTGTATCATTTTATTATCTCGATTTCGGTATTACATTTTTTTTTTGAGAAATCAATTTCTTTCGTTAGTGCATGTGCATTTGTCGGATAAGTTGTGAAACACCCTGTATGAAGTTTCAAGCGGAATCTATATGGCTTTGAAAAAAAACTTATTTTTGCAAACATACGAATGAGTTTGAACACTCATATCATGCAAAAAGGAATTTCCGGACCTCTGTGAGTATATATGAAAATGATTAGTGAAAAATTAAGGAAAAAATATTATGTTAGGTCCTACGCTGATCCGTTGTCTGGATCACCAACATTTTCTTTGTGGTAATGCTGATTTCGTATGTTGTACCAGTGCTAAAAAGTTATCGAGACTGCAAATTAATTTCTTTACCTGATGGTAGATAAGTGATTATAGTAGTACCCCCAACCCCACTCTTCATATTAGAAGTCACTTCCAAAGCTCTGACAGGTTCCAAAGCCTGATACACGTTCTGCTCGATCTGTTGGCCTAAATTGTCCAATGGCTTCAACTGGTTGTGAACCCCGGAAGATATGGACTCACCCAAACCATCAAGTTCGTTGAGGCCATCTTGGCCAAACATGTTGATGGGCCTGTTCATGAACTGGTTACTGAACATGTTGTCCGGGTACGAGTCGTATGTCCTTCCTGAAAATGTTATGTAAGGAGATCAACTATGTAAATGCATGTTTTTGTTTTAACTCTCAACCTATTAGTACAGGATCCGTATTAAGCTCGACCTTCACCGATCTGACGTCCAGATATTTTTTCACTACTAACCTGAGAAATCGTCATTATTTATACCACATTCCACTAGGAGAAATTTCATTTCCGCCCTAGGAAATAATAATGATAATAATAATAACAATAATAATAATAATAATGATAGCGGGGATTAAAGAAAGGAGTAGCTGACTGTTGATTGATCACTGTGTCACACAGGACTCAGCGCAGACAAGCGAAACCTTTCGATGTCATGGATTGACTATCGTAAGGCATTTGACACGACGTCTCATGAAGTCATTGTGCGTCTGTTGGGATGCGTTGCGGTAGATGATCAAATAGTGAGATGCATCAAACAACTGATGCCGGTCTGGAGCACTAGGTTCACAATCACGTCTGGTGAAACCAAAATTCGGACAGAGTTGGTATCATTGAGAAGAGGGGTCTTCAAAGGTGACTCTTTAAATCCCCTGCTCTTCTGCATCTAAGTGCTCCCGTTGTCTGTTGCGCTAAGAAATGTGAGAGGATACAGCTGTGGCACTCCCAGCAACCAGAGGCACAAGATCACCCACCCAGTTCTTCATACCCAGTTCAGCCATATTTTTCAGTTTTAAGAGGTCAACCCTTGTATGCGCAGATTCACTCTGTACCCCCCTGCTTTTTGGCAAAGCTATTCCATAAAAAAGTGCTCCTATGAGGTGTCTACAACATATATGAGTCTGTTGGTGGCACAATTGCTCGTTTGGGATCTGCGATGTTTTTCTGTTTAGAGGAATCAACACTTGTATGCCCAGATTCACCCTATAGTTACCTGATTTCTCGCTAAGCTATGCCATAAAGATAGACTCTTATGAGGCTTCCACAACGCATATGAGTTTGTTGGTGGCACAGTTTTTCATTTGGGTTCTGCGGTTTTTTATGTTTTGAGCAGTGAAGCCTTGTATGCGCAGAATTACCCTGTAGTCCATAGATTTTTCGCAAAGATTCTGCGATTTTTTTCTGTTTTGAGAGGTCAACCCTTGTATGCGCAGAATCACCCTGTTATACTCTGATTTGATGCAAATCTATGCCATATGAGATCTCTACAGCATATATGAGTTTGTTGGTGGCACAATTCTTCGTTTGGGTTTTGCGTTTTTTTTTTGTTTCAAGCAGTGAAGCCTTGTATGCGCAGAATCATCCTGTAGTCCTCTGATTTTTCGCAGAGCTATGCCATAAAGATGTACTCCTATGAGGTCTATACAGCATATATGAGTTTGTCGGTGGCATAATCCTTCGTTTGGGTTCTGCGATTTTGTTTGTTTTAAGGAATCAAACTCTGTATGTCCAGATTCACCCTGTAGTCCCCTGATTTCTCGCATAAATACCATAAATATGTACACTCCTATGACGTCTCTACAACACATATGAGTTTATTGGTGGCACAATCCTTCGTTTAGTTTGTGCGATTTTTTTCTGTTTTAGGCAGTAAAGCCTTGTATGCGTAGAATCACCCTGTAGTCCCCTGATTTTTCGCAAAGCTATGTCATAAAGATGTACTCCTAAGAGGTCTCTACAACATGTACGAGTTTGTTGGTGGCACAATTCTTCGTTTGGGTTCTGCGAATTTTTCGCAAAGCTACGCCATAAAGATGTACTCCTATGAGGTCTCTACAACATATATGAGCCTGTTGGTGGCACAATTCTTCGTTTGGGTTCTGCGATTTTTTCTGTATTAAGCAGCATCACCCTGTATAACCCTAATTTAGTTTATCAGGTATGCGGTGTTTACAGCGGTAGTACAGTATTTTTCTATTAAGATGCCTTTTCTCGTTTTCCCGTTCACTCCACCACTGGTAATATCGAATTTTGGGATATTATCTAGGGTCATTTGTTTAAAAGCCTTATTTAACATAGAGCAACCCTCAGTAGCTGAGAATACCAGTTTTCTAGGATATCGTCGATTTGAGCTCACTAATGAACTGGTCGACTGTAATTTCATCATATTCGAAACCGAATCTGAAGCTAACTTCAGGGACGTCTTCTGCTCAACTGAAGAGCAACATAAGAATTGCTGAAGCAAATTACTTATTAAGGCTTTATAGAGACAAGCCTATGCATGGAAACTACTACAGACACATAGAGACATGTCTGAGGAGTTGACCTTCTCATTCCTAAGGTCTAGATGGTGTTATTTAATATAGTTGTAGTCACAGTTCTTGGCGGGTCAAAGTAAGACTACCAGTATCCCTTTATATATCACCATCTCCCTCATACATACACATGCAGCCTACCCCTGTGTGTGAACGTTAATATCTTAATATAACGTAGCAGGGTTTTTTGGGTCTGGATGAATGGATGAAGCCGATGCCAACTGCAGAGCATGTCGACAGGCGCCAGAGACGCGTATGCATCTCTTGTCAGCGTGTAAAGTATACGCTGGCACCGCTTACGTCTATCGGTACAGCGCAGCTTTACGAGTGCTATACTACGGCACTCCTACGGTATAGATGAAACACCTGTGCTGCCCTATGCTCCAGGGGATATTGGCTCTAATGTGGAAAACGCGAAATGCCGGATTTACTGAAATTACTCGTTCCCCACGATCGAGCTGGTGCAGGTGAATAAGCCCGACATAGTCCTCCTCGACCACGAACGGAAGGCGATGTTCGTTATTGAATTTCCGGCTCCGACCGAAGTGAACATCGCCTCGAAGGAGGAGGAAAAACGGACCAAATATCAGGAGCTCCTCAATCAGCTTCGCAGACTCTGACCAGACCACACTGTCGGTCGGCTATCATGGTCATTGGATACTTGGGTGGGATAAGGAAGACACTGCTATCTGCAATTAAATCCATACCGGAAGAATCAATAAAGCGGTTATCCTCCCTACTTCCGTCTACTTAGGGCACATGATTTGAGGACCTAGTTATTTACCTCATGGTGTGAGGAGTGGCTAGTTGTTAATGGAACAGCAGCTTGGTGTTGCCAGGTTGCCTATTTTACTTTTCTTTTCTCCGTATATAATAATAATAATAATAATCATAATACTCAATACATTTTCATCAGACTTGCAGTAGCAAACATAGTCAACGTCAACCAACGTATGAACAAACAAAAACAGTAACTCAAAAAACCTATGGACAATTGAAATATTCATTCCGTGAATAGAAGGCCTTTTCTATTACATAAGTTTTCAAAGTTTTTTGAAGCTATATGTATTTGTGCTAGCAAATTATTAAAATTTTGTACACTGTTAAGAGTATGGGATTTGCTCATATACAATCTGGCTTAATGGTTTGGCACACTTAGATTGTGTCAGTTTCTAGTGATCACATTATATTAATATATAACTGTTTTTCCTATATTTATCGAGGCTTAGTTTTGTATCAATACCCAATATTTCCAACTTTTTGAAGAAGCCATCTGTTGTAATTTTAATGCTTATCGTAAATTCTTTTCGGACATATAAAATCATCGGCAGATTTCAAAGAGTGAAACTAAAATACACACATTGCACATTGCACATAAGCAAGGTAAACCATTTTTAAGTCTTCAGTACCAACTTCATCTCTAATACTGTATATTAGCGGGCAGAGTACATTTACGATAATACTGCTGTTATTATTTTTGTTCTGTTAACTTCAATGAGTAGTCTATTTTCACACCTAAAAACTGTAGTGGTAGTGCCATTATTGAAGTATACAAAAGTCATTTTATCGATGTTCAAATGTAATAACTTGTCATTGTACCATTCAGCTACATTACTTACAAGCTTTGTTGATTTTTGAGACAACTGTTCTATGTTTTTGTTAGCAACCATACCCGACATATCAGCGTACATGAATAAAGAATCAATAGATTTGAATAGATAATATACAGGGTTTGTACGGAAAGTAACAGGACTCATTTTTTCCGCCATGACTGTACTTCGGAGCGTGCGCGCACCGACTGGATTCGGTAGAGAGCGTTCCTAGCTAACGAATGAGCGGCTGATCAGTTGTCTCCGAGCACTTGGAGAGTCAGGATAGACATTTTCGCGCGACGTGTTTCTGTGAGTGGTGCAAGCCGAAAATGCAGCGTTCGTTAGAGCAGAGGTACGCGATTAAATTCTGTGTGAAACTCGGTAAATCTGCGACACAGACGTTTGATATGATCAAGCAGGCTTACCCAGGTGTTGCTTTAGCAAGAAGTGGTGTGTTTCGGTGGCACCAGGCCTTTTTGGAGGGCCGGGAAGAGGTCGATGATGAAGACCGTGCTGGAAGACTTTCGACTTCGACAAACACCGATAATGTGACTCATGTGCGCAAAGTTTTGAACTCAGACCGTCGACTAAGTATTCGTTTAATTGCCCAGATGTTAAATTTACCAAAATCTGTGGTTCATGACATTGTGACACAGCACTTGAACATGCGCAAGGTGTGCGCGAAGATGGTCCCAAAAGTGCTCACTGACGACCAGAAATTGCGGCGAGTGGAAGTGTGCCAAGAAAATTTGAACATGTGTGCAGGTGAGCCCCAATTTTTGAATAACGTAATCACAGCTGACGAGTCGTGGATCTTTGAGTATGATCCCGAGACAAAGAGGCAATCTTCCGAGTGGCACACGACGGCGTCTTATCGCCCAAAAAAGGGAAGAATGAGCAAATCCAAAGTAAAAACGATGTTCATTGTCTTTTTTGACATAAAAGACATCGTCCACCATGAATTTGTTCCTCCTGGACAAACTGTCAACGCCAAGTTTTTCGTGGAAGTACTCAGGAGACTCAAACGAAGGGTAAGTCGTGTCCGTCAAGACATCGCAGCCGACTGGAAGTTGCACCACGACAACGCCCCGGCGCACACCGCCTTTCTTGTGAACAGCTACCTGACCAAGGCCGGCATCCCAACGCTTCCGCAGCCGCCCTACAGCCCAGATGTGGCCCCCGGACTTTTTTTTGTCTCCTCGCCTGAAAAGGCCGATAAAAGGCAAGCATTTTGAGACGACAGAGGGGATCCAAGCAGCATGCACCGCGGCTCTCAAGGCTATTCCGGAGAATGCCTTCCGTGTCGCCTTCAATGCTTGGAAATCGCGCTGGCAGCGCTGCATCGACCCAGAAGAAGCCTATTTTGAAAGTTTTTAAAAAATTGTAACGATTGGCTCAATAATTTTTTTTAAATCAACTCAGTCCTATTACTTTCCGGACAAACCCTGTATGTACACTAAAAATAAAACTCGTCTAACGATTGACCCCTGTGGAAGCCCCATACTAATTTTCGCATAGAATCTCGTAGCACTTAAACGGGATCGTAAAATTACTACTTATAACGCGAAAGTACTTCCCCTAAGAACTTCTAGTTTCAAAAGTAAGGTAGAGAAATTTAAATTTCAGTATTGTTTAGATGGATTAACGTTTCGGTTGGCCCTTTTCAGTATCCATAAAAAAATTTGGTTTGTCATATTTTGCATTTTTCAACGTTGTGGTTAACAAACCTTAGCCTGGGACTGGGCGCTTAAGGAGAAAAGAATGGAAATGAAATAAATAAAGACTACCTCACAACTGTACAGGTAAAAGTCCAATGTAACACTTCTCGATAAAAAGATTTGATCTTAAATCAGTTTAAATTGCTTTGTGCAATCCACAGAAGCCTCCACCATTTCCGAAAACTGTCTGCAACACTAGAATTGTATAGAGCTCACGCACTTTTATATGTTCGCAGAACAGTCCGAATTTGAATTGTCAACAACTGTCAAATCGGTGGCTTAAGCTTGATCGACTTGTAGTATGAACCTTGTATACGGTTGGTTATGGTCATATAAACGGAAAGCAAACATATCCTATTTAGCCGGTGTTCAGTTTATGCAACTTTTGCATAGTACATCAAAGCTGATAGCATGGTGAGCACATCGAACAACCCCAAAAAAACTAAAGTTCTCTTATCAAACGCATCCCCCCAATTTTACTTGAACTATATCATAACAATTGTAAGTAAAGTTTTATGTACCTAGAACCAGGCCAACCCGTGCCGAGTTGCGTTGGAACATGTCAAAACTTGCATATTAGGCGCGCACTAGCTAACGTATTGCAGTGTTCGTTTGTGCTATTAGTAAACGCACTGTTTTTGTTCAGTCAACATGTGGAAGGAATTTCGTAGTTCTAAAAAGGGGATATTTTTAATAGACCATCAAATTACCAGTTCAAAACTTCACTCCAATGGACAGTACCAGCAGTTTTGTTCTATAATATCTGGGAAGTGAAATTAAGAGTCAATGAGAGCGCCAATCTGACTATTCCAGAGTACATTAGTTGCTGGGAAAAGGCACGTATACCGAATAAATATCTACCTAGCTGTGTTAAGAAACTAGTTACCTTATTCCAAGTTTGGAGAGATTTGCAAAACAATGCAAGCAAAACAATGTTTGAGCAGGGCCGACAAGAGTTTGTTACGTAACTTGGACAATCTATTTGGTATTGCGCATGCCGATACAATTCATGAAAATAAATGAAGATGGGATCTTCTTGCAGCGGCAGAGAGAGCCAGGTCGACCTGGTCATTTAGCTGGGATGGACAAGAAATTAGCCATAAAAGAAGAAAAGACAAGTCTTAGGAATACCGAAGAACAAAAGCGACGAGGTAAATATGTTACTTCCTTAACTCCTTCGAGATCTTACGAACCAGTGCAAGAAAATTCATCTTAAGATTCCGAGATGGATTTACAAGAAACTTTGTCCATCTCAACTCAGAGCACCCAGCCTGATACTCATCAAACTCAAATGAGGAAAAGTTCCATAACCCGAAAATTGATGGCAGCATTAGATAGGTGTCAGTCAAGTATGAGAAATGTTGTTTTTATTATTGAAACAACCATTTAGGCACTTGAAATAACACTGACGCGTTTCATGTAAGCGAGTTCTCCATACAAAGGACTCTCGGAAGCAAATAGAGCGCGCAGAAACTTAAGGCTTGATTTCCAGAGCGAGGTACTGGATACTGTAACTGTTTACTGAGATGGCGCAAATTCTTGACATCTTGTAGACAAATCTAAAGAAGGTCTATTGATTGTTATAACGTATGAAAATAAAGAGCAACTTATCGGTGTGCTCAAATTGGATAACTCTTCAGGCAGCGGGTAGTCTTAGGCAGTTTGGGATGCTATAATACTACTGCTCCCAATACGGATCACATTAACTGCACCTGCGTGCTTCTCGAACAGAAACTTAGTAAAGAAATGCTTACTTTTCTTTATCGCCATCACGTCTACGAATTGGTATTAAAAGGCGTATTTGAATCAAAGATCGACCAAGTGAGTACAAGCCCTGACATTCTAATGTTTGAAAAGTATCGCGAGGGCTCTAAAGGTGTGGATCCCGAGAAAATACAGATTTATACTGAAAAGCTATCATGCCTGAATATTTCAGAGACTTACAACCTGCTAGAATTTTATCGTCATGAATTGATAAAGAAGTTGCTAGAGACGATTATCGAGAATTAATAGAACATTCAATAATATCCCTTGGCGGAGATACAGAGAAAACATTTAAGATTAGACCGCCAGGCGCCATGCATTAAGTTCCATGGCTGGCCAGAGCAATCTATTCATGAAAAATAGCGTTACTATGTTCCCAGCTCAAACTTTCCAATAAGGATAAGGTAGCTCTATTAGATGTGCCCTGTTCATCGCGACAGCATACGTGAAACCGTAGTTGCAATGCACTTTAACGGTAAAAGCAGCTAACCAGCATTTATGTTTTTTAAAGGCAAGGAAGGCTAACGAAAGAATTGACAGAACTATTTTTAAAGCAGCTTTACAAAGCTTCTGACATCATTTTTGGTATTTTCAGATGAAGTCTCTATCTCATCTCTGTTTGACGACGACGTAGATGAGGGAGCTAAAGTAAAAGTTTTTGCTAATTTAGCCAATGAAAGTCCAAGAGCTAACGGTAAACGCTACATCCCATCGAAAGAAGGACTGTCTAGCCCACTGTGGTAAGTCTGACGAATACATTTTTATTTGTCTTCTTCTTCCTTTTACTGCTTTGATATAATATGCTGTTAAAATAAGCCAGCATAAACTCCGATTCAGGCAATGGATAGCGCCTTATACTGTCTTGTTTCGATTGATGTTATACCTCAGATAGAGGTTAGATGCTATGCTTTCGTTCGTTGTCCTGATTTGAGGCCAAACCTAGACGATGCGGATGAGTTACCAAAAAGCACAAAACGTCTGTTTATAGTTGACTGTCTGTGGTCAGTCGGACAAAACCAGTATGTTCAGATAATAGTTATTCTTCGTTTTTTCATTTCAGAGAAAAAGATCGATGACGTTGTTTGAATCAAAAGCAAGTCCTTGTTCATGCTGACAGTTTTCTCGAAGAGTCTCTAACTTCATAGCCACATAATGATTATTTTCAACACGTAGGTGCAAACACTCAGAGCAGTTAACGATACGGCAGAAAGAGCAAAAAGAAAACTTTGAAAAGAAAATTAGTAAATAATGTTCTTTTGATGATAAATATCTAAGAAATATAAGATACAAGTGAAGCAGTGTTTAATTTGTCGAATACGAATTAGGTTTTGAGTGTCATACATGGTTTCCCTATTAACTTTCAAATTCAAAGTTTTCCCGGAAGTCGGCACAGGTTATCGTTCCCTGATTGCAATATTTATTTTTTGAGTCAAATTGAAAAAATAGAGGGTATGCGTATCTCAATTCGAACAAAACTTTGTTTGCCCTCATAGGCTGTCAATTGGAGGTGTCGAGAGACTGTAGGCTGCGTTTGGCGAACTATTGATAGTTAGTAGTGTCATCTCTTCGCGCACTTTGTAGCGTTTGTTTGGAGCATATTAAAACCCAACTATAGAACTTGTCGACAAGGTTCTGACTGCTTTTCACGTGTCTGGCTATTACTGCTATCCTAATGTAGATAAGTATTCAAATCTGACACATGATATACCTGGCATTTTGCTTTGCTGGACAGGCCTATAGGCACCATAAACACTATGGCTGATTATAGGTCCAAGATTCTTCAAAGGGGCTAATCCTTGTCTGACTGCATTTTCGATATTGATCCTCAAATTGGACAGATCTGGAAATGTTTAAAGGTTACAACTAAAACCTGACATAATTCTTAGCATTCATGGAATTATCGAGAACAATTTAGTATTATGAACCTATTAGTGTTGCAGAGAACAAGAAGAAGAGATGGAGGGAAACTATTTAAAGATAACATCCAATAAGGGGAGAAAAGATTGAATAAAAGAAATAGATAAAAGACACCTTGATAGAAAAAGCAAGTCTTCAAAGAAAAAAGAAGGAATAATGAAAAGTAGTAGAAGAATAATAAAAATGCAGCCACCTGTATCAGTAGTTAGAATTTCAGATATTTAATTATCTGAAATAGTCGCAATGTGCTATAGTAGACCTGATAGTCAGCGAAAAGGATCGCAAAAAAGTATGCCATCCTATAATATAGATAAGTTATATAGAAGCAGCAACTGTCCGCGGGTGAGTAAGCCAACGAAATATATATATATATATATCTTTATCTTTGTAAGAGTTTTAGAGTTCGTAATTGTTTGACGTACCTGTTCTATGCGTTCGGAATTAGAACCAAGCAATCCTTCTGGAATGTCAAAAGTGGACTTTTCTTCCAGAGTTCTAAACTTTGGGAATACGAGTGCGTTACCTATCATTTTCATGGTTCATTGTTTATTTGGCTATTAAAAAGTGCTCTACATTGGCAGAATATACATATATTTTTCATAATGAGTAAGTTGCTCCACGTCCATAGCGTTTCTTATCTATTTAATATAAAAATGAATCCCTATTTCGCGTGGTCACGTGATAACTTGAGAACGACTTTACCGATTTCATACATCTTTTTTTTAAGTTTCCTAATGCTGTATAAAATGTTCTTACGGAAAGAAAAATTAAGAAAATCGCGCAGAAAATTGAGAAATCATTGAAAATCTAATGATTATTTAAGATACGCGCGTTTGACAGATTGCTTGAGCATGGAGCACGCACAGCAGAAGAAATATCTCAAGTACCAAAAGAGACAGGCACTCCTCTCCGCTACTATTCGTCATTATTCGTCAGAGCGGTTCGGTAGACCTTTGCTCTTAGTTAAAAGTCTCAGTCGGTCTGTTAATCTGTCAGGTCTGGCAACCCAGATACTAAACATATTTAAGGAGAAAAGGGAAAGAAGGAAAGAAAGGAATGAAGAAATAGAGCAAAGAAAAGAGGTAAATCATTTGAAATAGCTTAAGCATTATTGCTTTGACTACTCGAATTATTTTGTAACTCCAAAAAATAATTTTGATCAGTTTTGTATACTGAAATAATTTTGGCTGGTCTGAATTTACAATTTAATTTTGATCACAGTGCGAGGCGCGGCCTGGAATGTTTGCGAACTTGCTCGACTGTGAAGTCTACTGAATCACGCAACTGAGGGTTGCTGTGCGATTCCGCTTGATTATAACGCCGCTGCGCCTGTTGTTTTACGTAATCCCTTAGATATGGGATATCAAGATCTCTGATAGTCTCATTTGACACGTACCAAGGGGCGTTAGTAATTGTGCGTAAGGTTCTGTTCTGCATGTGCGTCTTGGCAAGAAAACACCAAGCCGCGCATGCGTAGGTGATTGCGGGTCTTATACAACCGAATCTTGTTGATCAAACTTAATTTTGAATTTCTGCACAAAAAGGATAAGATGACGAAAGGTAATTTGGAATTATGTTTTCAAACTATCAGTATGTTTTTGCCAGGTCAACCCCTTGTCAATGATGACTCCAAGATACCTGACAGGATTGCCTCCCATGGTATACGAGTTCCATTCGCTGATATCTCTGAGGGGGCACCGCGACGTTTTTTAGTACAATAGAATGCCTGCGTTTTTGAAGTATTAATTTTGATCAACCACCGATCCGCCCACTCCAATACTTCTTCCACCGCACTCTGCAGCCTGTCGTGAACCAGGTTACCAGAACCAGACTGGGCTAGCAATGCAGTGTCGTCAGCATAGAGATAGACTTCACAGTTGCTGGGGCAAGGGCCGTCATGTATATAAAGTGAATAAAGGATTGGTTCTAAGACCGAACCCTGAGGAACACCGGCTCTTACGGGCCGTGTTGTTGACAACACATTGTTATATCTGATCCGAAACTTCCTTCCTTCTAGAAGAGATTTCAACAGTTTTAGTAGCCAAAATGGAAAACCCTTTTGGATGAGCCCATGTGCCACACCTTGTCAAATGCATTTGATACATCTAAAAGCAAGATACCAGTACTTTTGTTCAGGGTGAACCCCCTGGTTACATGCTCCACCAGTCTAACTGCCTGTAGTTCCGTACAATGCTCAGACCGAAAGTGATCTGACGAGAAATTCTCAAGGTGACGATAAATCACCTTTTCAGTGAGCTTAGAAGGAGCTGACAGCAGACTAATGGGACGGTAATCCTGGGGGAATATCGAACCTGCCTTCTTTGGGATCATGATGACTGCAGCGACCTTCCACGCGTTAGGAAAGTAATGAGTTCTGAGCATTGCATTGATTATTGCCACCAGATAAGTCAAAGCCTTGAGTGAAAGCAACTTCAGTGCTTTGTTAGTGATTTGATCCTCTCCAGGTGCTTTACGCATCTTTAGGTCCTTAATGTGACCTTGGAGCTCTGCTGGTGTGCCAAACGGAATCTCAGAGGACTCCGTTGATGTGCTATGCTGAGATTCATTTGAAGAGTCTTCCGTAGAAGAATCTTCTGAAACGGAGTTACCGATGCTAGCTCCGATGTTGGTATCGCCATTCGCTCTGAAGTATCTCCTGACAGATTTTACAATTTGTCGTTCCTCGTCAAGGTCATTGTCCAGATCATAATTGGGAGAGAACTGCCTTTCCATGACGTCAGCAAAAACCTCCACTTTATCCTCAGTCCTGAAAACTATGCCTCCAGGACCATGAATATGTGGTAGTTGTTCTTGCCTTCCGTTTCTGAGCGATTTTGCCACTTTCCAGAGAGAATACTTGATTCAAGCATCCCCGCCAGAAAGTCGCTCCACTGCTCATTGCGGAATTCATGGAGTGCATTTCTCACTTCTTGGACGAGATTCGTCGCTCCACGAATGTCATCAGGATGGCAAGACCTTTTTGCTTGTTTAATCGCAGCCCTCTTTTCAGAAATTTTCCGACGAATGTCAGCAGGGAGAAAAGTCTGCCGTGTCGCTGCACCTGAAGCAAGCTGTAGAGTTTGGTGAACGAAACTTGTCCACTCCGATTGAGCAGCATCTATTCCGTTCTCATTATGTATGACCGGGACGCTAAGAAACTCTTTGAGAAATGACTTGTATAGTTCCCAATCAACTATTTTCCTTGGAGGAGTTTCCTCCTCCACAAAATGCCCATTACCTACCTCCAGAACAACAGGTAGATGTCATACAAGATCCTAGAAGCAATACTGAACCTACAGTTTTTAGATATTGCAAAGTCCGGTGCCTGAAGGTGATTGAAAGGATGGTGTGTCGGCTCTTCGGTGCTGTGAATAAGATACCCGTTTCGCATCACATGGTTGTAAAGCCGAACCCCACAAGTAGAGTTAAGCCTTGAGTGCCATGATCCGTGTTTGCAGTTGTAGTACCCTGCCGCAATAAGAAGGCCCGAACAGTCCAGAAGGACTTCCAAGTCCTTCTCTCGCAGCCTGGCACCGCACCTGACATACACCGATGTGATCTTCAACGGAATGCATCCCGCCATATTGACTACCACGGACTCCGCTTCAATGCTTTGCATCTTGGCGTTTGTGCTTCTGTGATAGTCAATACCACGTTTAACGAGCACTGCCAAGCCACCACCCCTACCATTCAATCTGTCAGCTCGTATAACATCATAATTCGAGAAGGCTAAGCGATCTCCCGGATTAAGTAATGTTTCCTGCAGCAGAGCTATGTCTATACTCTCATCCAATAGAGTTTGATGAAATTCCCGTTTTTTGGGAATATCCCTTAGGCCCAGACAATTCCAAAAAAAAATATGATAAATGCAGGTTGTCTATTGTACTTAGCCATTCAATGGCTGCGGAAAGATTGCCTACAATGCCTGAGTGGCGCTAGTCAGGGGACTTATTATTTGTTGAAGGGAGCTAAGCACAGTTGCTAGGTCCACATTCTGCGTGTTCATAGTGGGTTGAATAGAGGGGGTAGCCGAAAATGTTGAGACGGCTGCTTCCGCGTATGACTTGCTACGTCTTTGCGCTATGACTTCCAGATTTCGCCTGGGGGACTGTTAGCGGGATGCGCCCCTCCACAGTTCGCACACTTTCGCTCCTCTTGTCCTGTGAGGGGGCATAATGTGTCATGTGGTCGGAAGCACATTTTAAACATTTGGGAGGTGCTGTGCAGTAAGACTGCGCATGACCATACCTTTGGCAGCGGTGACACTGCCCAATAAGTCTAGAGTTCTTTTGAACTTCAACTCTGATTGCTAGACCCAGCAGCTCATGTTCATTGAACAGCTGCTGGGACTTTTCAATCTTGGGCAGTACCACGACCACCAAAGGCATGGGTGCGCCGCCACTGCGTTTGAGGCGGATAATGTGGAGAGGAGTATATCCCCTCTGTTCTAATTCCCCTTTGATTTCCTGTTCCGAAAACATTGCGGGTATGCCTCTGACTACCGAGTGAATATTTCGTTCTGAAGGAAGAGGGAATGTATGATGGGGCACGTCCTCCTCCCTGAACAGGCGAACGATTCTTCGGTAGTCATCCTCAGTTTTCGGCAAAATCCTGATTCCCGCATCAACGGCAGCCGCGCGTTCTATCTTAATGCCTAAGCTTATAAAGGTGTAGTCGCATCACGAAAAACAATGGGCGTGATTCGCCCCTGGCGGGGTGCTGTGCTGGTCGACTCACCAGCAACGTGAGATTGTTGAGATAATGCACAGTCAGTTGATGCAGTGGCCAAAGATTGAGAAGATGTGGTCGCTGCATCGACCGTCATAGGACAAGTGGCAGAAGAAGTTGATACGTTTAATGAAGCAGAAGGTTTTGAGGGGATTGTCAACTTGAATTTTGATTTTGCTTTTGGAAGAGATGGGAAGTCATTCGTCTTGTCGGTTTTGTTTGTATTTTTTTGTTTTATAATAGAAATAGCTTAAGCCAAATGCTACGGCAGACACAAGTTCGACGTCCGTCATGTTTGCCTGTTGCCTTTTCACTGAAGCATCCGCAAACGTGTGGACGGCCACGTTTGCTTTTTCAAAAAAAAAGGCAAGCGTTTGAAGGGGTTTGGAGTTTGCGGCAAATGGCAAGCGTGCGGTTCCGGCATAAGAGATACGAAATCGCTTGAGTGAGGGCAAAGTTCCGAATTTAGGTGATTAACACAATGCTTCTTAGAAAGTTTAAAAATTCAAAGTACTTCCGGTGGAAGACGGAAAAAACGAATTTTCCCAAAATCATTTTAATTTTTTCCTGACCTTATTTGTAGCGAAATTTTACAATGAATTGCATATCAATATTGCCACTTTTTCTCCTAAAAAGGTGACATAATTAGAATTTCAATATGACGTTTCGTCTCTTTCGACCTCTAGCATCAACTTTTCACATATTTTTTCAGCTGATTCAAGTGGTATTAGATCTACTATGCTGCGTAACAGTATAAAAATACAGAAATTATGAGAGAGTGATATATTCTATCCAATTATAATATAATAATAAAACTTACCTTGCGAAACAACGTTAGTGACCTGAAATAAAAAAATGATTTAAAGTATATCAACTGAGCACTTTCCTTACATTAATATGTGTAGAAATCTATTTTTGAATTACGTATTTTCTTAACAAAACTTCTTTTGAAGCTGCGCTAAAATGACAATTTCGAGAAATGGCAGACAATTAATTTTTGAAATGAGGCTCGTTTAGTTTTAACATTTTTTGCCACTTGCCACCTAAAGACGTCAAACAAGACAAAATTAATTTTAGAACCAATCAAAATTGAAAAATTTCAGCATTTTTCCTTCTCATCTTTTTCCTTTTTTTTCAACGATTCTGCATGTCACTAGTACCAAATTAAACGGCTTGACCATACTACTCCATACTTCGTACGCTTGCTCTCATGATTTGACAGCTTTGACTGAAACTTGTATTAGAAGTATTGTTCATACTGCTGAGTAGTGAGCATTGCGTGTTTAGATCAGATAGAAAATATGTAAAAACTTTATTAGACTGTAAAAAAAGGAAAGAAAATTTAGTAAATAAAACATTATTTACTAGATACTAAATACTTTTAATGATAAATATCTATGAAACATAAGATACAAATAAAGCAGTGTTTTATTTGTCGAATAAGAATTAGGATTTGAAATCCATACATGGTTTCCCTATTAAATTTTGAATTCAAAGTTTGACCGAAAGTCGGTTAGGGTTGTTTGAGTGAACAAAAAATTATTGGCCCTCATAGGCTGGAAAACCCTAATCTACACATACAGTGTGTCTCAGAATCGCTTCTCTATACAGGATCTCGGGTCCTGTTATACCTACAGTAAAGGTTAAATTTGGAAAGTTTTAGAGGAAACTTAGAGCATTCGATAGCCGGCTTCAGATTTACGATCGGTTGATTGGTTCGGAAATATCGGCAAAAAACTGAAAATGTCGAATTTCGTTGTCAGTAAATCCGAAACGGTTAACTTGGCAGCTGTCAAAATGTGACATTATTCGGACATTTTCTTAAGGAAAATAAGAGAGCATGTATGACATGTCTCAATTCTCTTTTGTTTTCCCGCAACCTTCCTCAACTTTCATTTTTCTTATGGTCGCCATATTGGATTCTTCGATTTTTGAAAAGATCATAAAATTTCCACCCTAGTCTCATAAATGCATCAGATTGGAGTATCATCGAAATATCATCACACAAAATGTTATGTAACAATTTTTTTCTAAGGTGGCCAAGATTTATTTGTCGGAAAATGAAATTAATAAGTTACGCAAGTGACAAATAAATCATGGCCTCCTTAAAAAAACTATTACGTGTAATGATATTTTGGTGATACTCCAATCCTTTATGCACTTGTGAAATATCGCTAGACTGGGAATGTTACACTCTTTTCAAAAATCAATAAGTCCAATAAGGCGGCCACAAGAAAAATGAAAGTTGAGACGGGTTGCTGGAAAACAAAAGACGATTGAGACATGTCGTAAAAGCTATCTTGATTTTCTAAAAAAAATCCGAATAACGTCACATTTTGACAGCTGTCAAATTTACCGTTTTGGATTTACTAGCAAAAAACAAATTCCGCCATTTTCGGTAAAAGTGGCTGCAACTTAGTGTTACAACGTATCTGCTCATTTTGAGACATTGTTTTGAAGGGTTGAATATTGTAGGTGGCAAGCTGTATGCGATAAGTGTTTGTAAATTGTTGCATGTTTCGTGTTACTGAAATACCTTCTATTATTAGGATGGTCTGATCTGGGTAATATTATGCACCTGTTAGACAGCTACAGAAAACAGAAATATGATAGCTTCATTTTATATAAGTAGTTTGATATGTACCTAGAGGTCGAAGATTCATCGAACCTAAGTGAACCTACCTAATCACGATTTGATTATTTGATGATCCCTTTTCATTAAAACCTCCAAGGAACGGAAGGATAAAGTCAGTATATATGTAATTTTTTTCTGTACAAGTAATAATTTATAGCACATACAACATATTATATGAAAACAATATTTTTGCTGTTAATGTAATTAGTATAAGGTCCGACGAAAAATAACGCTTGACACTAAATTCAGAATATGTACACCAGTATTATACTGTCAACATGTGATTTATAAATAAAAACACTCACCAAGGTCACAGATATGAAAAATATAATTCCGCTTCCTCGAAACACAATCATATTCGCGAATCTAAGATGCACTGGAGCTAAAACTGAACCGGATTACAAATCTGGACTAGAGACGCGTATATGTTGTGGAGCAAGTGTTTCTTGTATTTTGTACGATCGACCTTAACATCCGCTTGCACGGAGGTGTTTCAATATAATATTTTATCAGTATTGCTGATGATATGTAAACAAACGGCAATGTGTGGGTAATTTACCAATAATGTGCTATTTAAAGTTTATTTGCTTTTCCGTGTGGGAAATGTGACCTTCCTCTTTGTTGTGAATCACTGATGGGGACTGAGTTACAGTGTTGCTCTATTAGACTTCGGGTTACTATATGATTTATGAAGTCTGGATTTTTCTCTGCAATAGAACTTCTGCTATAGACATTCGTAGATTAACGTATTGCCCATCCCTATGATGTATAGGGTCGTTTATTGACATTTTTCAAATCGCGGTAATAGTCCCACAGGTGATAACAGTGATAAGACAGTGGTCAATAGGTAGCATTCAAAACTCTCAACAAGTGGAGGAACTGTTGCATATTTGGAATACTGGTTTGTTTTTTGGAAATAAATTGCAAGATAAACGATATAGCGAAATAAAAAATGCATTAAATTATTGGGAATTATTCAATTTTGATGATACAAGCAATCAAACAAAACAAACACCAGGAACTCCATCAAAATAATCATCAAAATAAAAAACTTCAAAAGCGTAAATTTACTTAGAGTGCAGGTAATTTGGAATGTAGTATTGCAAATTAAAATCACTTTCTTTTTTGACAATTGTTTACACTTTTTTCTAGAAACTAGTATATTTCTCAATTTCGTAACCGTTTTGCAGTCTTGGGTAATCTGTTTAACAAAATAGTTTATAAAATCATAAAATAGTTAATTTTTACTCAAAAACAAATTTATTGATGGAATCAGGTTCACAAGGAAATAGCATTTGAGGCAGTCAAGTGTGGAAAATCACATCAGGCATTTGGTGGCCGAAATGGTTGGTGCAGTGCTGGAGGCGTTCTTGGAAGTTCGCGTAGACTCTCTCCAACATCGGTCTCTCAACTTGGGCGACTTCCACGCGAATTTCACCCTTTAATTCGTCCAGAGTTCGGGGCTTGTTCGCGTATACTCTAGCCTTGAGGTTCTCATTTTGATCGATCAGTGCTTCCATCTCACGTGCGAAGTTCATTCGTTGTGCATAATCTCCGGGCTGTAACTGTTGCACAATGACCAATTTGTAGGGGTGAAAGCGGAGATCCATATGCAAAATTCGCCTTTCCGAACGATCACTAAGCGAAGTGCAGCAGCATGTTTCCGAGCAGATCGAGTCGGATTGCGAAGAAAGACCTGTCAAACGCGTTCAACATTTTCAGGAGTTCGAACTGTTCGCGGCGCTCCTTCTTCTGTTGATCAGTTCACCACGCCTGCGAAGTGATTCAACCCAACGAAGGATGGTGCTTCGAGAGGGAACAGCTGTATTCCGATGAATGTGGAAGTGGCGACGAAACTCACGCTGTACAACGATGACTGACTCATTATTTCGGACGAAACAATCATAGGCGAAAACGCGGTGCTCCACCGTCTGGTAAAATAATGCTAGGATCTCACGAGTCAAACGGCACCCTCCCCACCTCTCTCGTAGACGGAGGCGGAGAGTACTACCCATCCCAAAAACGGCCGTCCACTCTGCCGCACCCTGTACTTGTATAGCCTTTGCAATTTACGAACTCGTCAGCAAATCATCTTGGCCTTTTTATTTTTACGTGAGTGCAATCCAACGCGATTGCCATTTAATTTTTGCAACATGTAGTTCAGCGACAGTTGTTGGAAATCTAATCCAGTGATCTGCCTTCTGGTACACTTTATCAAGAACCCAACTTATCGTTCTGCAGGTTGTGGTGCGGTGAATCCAATAGTCTTCAGCTACTCCGCTCAGAAACCCTGGATTGCCTAGATAGCGTAGAAATATCTCCATTTTTGTTCTTGCAGATAGTGCTCCGCCTCTGCGTTCATTATTTTCTGGCAGAAACTCGGAACATAAGAAATCCACACTTTCTGAATCAAACCTTAACGAACGTTTTGACTGACTAGGGCTAACATTCCGTCTTTTTCGATATGTTTTACCAGCACGTAACTGCATGAAATCTGCCATGTTCAACCGTAAGTATACTATTCACTTACCTTACAAATTATCGAGTATTTACTAACAACATAAGTATTTAACTATCCATTATTCACTCAATTTTAAGTGAATACTCGGAAAAACTGAGGTTTTACTACATAAGCTAAGTACTTACTACAAAGAGAAGTAAATGCTTGATCTAAAGTATGTACTTCCTATTTTATTCACTCAATCCTAAGTATTTAAGTACGAATGCCCTAGTACAAGCATTTACTGAGGTTTATTCACTTGACTCATTATATTTACAGAAAAAAATACATACGGCGTTTACATTTATTTAGATAACTAAGTATTCCAAGTTACCTGCAGTACTAAAATATGCTGCACGTCCTCTTCACCTAATTCTTATTCGACCAATAAAACACTACTTCATTTGTATCTTATATTTCTTATACAGGGTGACTTTGAAGTTGAGTCATTAATTTTCAGATAATGATTGTAGAAGGAAGATAAACCAAAATATGTGTGTAAAAATAAAAAAAAAATAAAAAAAAAATGTTTACCTTGTTTTATAAAGTATCCTCCCGACAAGTATTTCAGTGCGGACCTGTATTTGATCGTGAGGTCCCCTGTGAGGTCTTAAGTCACCTGATTCACGAGCCCGTTGTACTACATTAACAAAGGCACGAGGGGTTGGTTGCACTCGATTGGGAAACCGATCCGCATAAATATGTGCCATTTTTTATTTCGTTTGAGCCACGCAACAGACACTATTCACACGCGTTACCGACTGACGACACTGACTGTATGTATAACTGAACTGAATAAAACAATTGTAAAAACATCGTTCCAAATTGTTTCGCTTTTTTGTTTCCGATGCGATGAACGGATAAGGCGGATTATATCTGTTGTTGCCAAACACGAGAACATAATATCATTATTGAGACAGGGCGGTACTCAAACTTCCAAAGGGCTATAACTTTGTTACTTTAATTTTACCAGAAAAATGGTAAAGGAAAAAACATTTCTTTTGATCAGATCTACTCACTGTTAAAATAAATGACTCAACTTCGAAGTCTCTATCATTAAAAGGACGTTATTTACTAAATTTTCTTTTTAAGTCAGGATATACCTGCCTGTGTTCTTGTACGCAACGTAATAAGAATTGTTTTTGTCCAACAGTGATAAAGCCATGACTGCTCTCCGTAACGTTAACTGCTTTCAGTGTTTGCACCTTATGCTTAGCGTGTTGAAAAGAATCATTATTTGGCCATGAAGCTGGACACTGTCTAGAAAACTGTAATCAATTTTGAGTCGACTGAACAAGGATTTGCCTTTGATTGAAATAAAGTTATATATATTTTTCTCTGAAATGGAAAAACGAAGAATAACTACCATCTAAACTCACTGGTTTTGTCTCTCCGACCACAGACAGACAACCATGGACATATGTTTTGTGCTTTTTGGCAACTCATCAGCTTTGTCTAGGCCTGGCTTCAGGTGAGGACAGCGAACGAAAGCATAGCAACTAACCTCATCTATTGTACGAATCGCATATTATATAAGAAGACAAAAGAAAATTTATTCGTCAAACTTACCATAAAGTGGGTCAGAAAGTCTTCTTTCAATGGATGTAGCGTTTACTGTGGGCTTATGGACTTTCTTTGGCTAAATTAGCTTCAATTTTTACTTGAGTTTCCTCATCTACGTAGTCGTCAAACAGTGATAGGACAGAAACCCCATCTGTCAAATACTTTAAATGTTGGCAGAACTTGTGTAAAGCTGCATTTGAAATGTTTTTTCAATTCGTTCGTAAGCTTTCGTTGCATATAAAAAGCATAAATCCTGGTTAGTTGCTTTTACCGCTAAAGTGCATTGCAACCATGGTTTCACTTATATTGACACGAGGCAGATATCTAACATAGCTGCCTTATCTTCATTAGAAAGTTTGAGCTGGGAACTTAATGATGCTATTTTTAATGAATGGATTGCTCTGGCCATCCATCGAGCTTGATTGATGGCGCCTAGCGGTTGAATCTTATTTTTTTATGGTATTATTGAAAGTTCTATTAATTCCTGGCAGCAAGGTCGGATTCAGGATTTCGACTAGGAGGGGAGGGGGTCGCAAACGCTATTTGCAATATAAACATGGAAAATCCCCAGAAATATTTTATTATATGAGAACAAAATCGGTACGAGTCCAACAAGGATGTCTATAGACCATCTATAGATCGTGTCTTGAGACCGTCTCCAGACTGCCTATGGACAAATTGCGCAACGGGGTCGTGTGGGACGTGTGGTATTGACTTTGAGCATCGATCGACACAGTTTCAGGATAGGCCACAGGCGCACTGCTAAGTAAATATCATAAATGTCTATTTCCAATTTAGGCGTTCATCTAACATAGTGCTGCAACACCAACGCCGAACAAAATCAGTCAAGCTTTACACAGTTTTCAAATTACTATTGAGCAACAAACAGAACATAAATCACATTTGAAGTGCAATCTGTATTATAGCTAATATATTACTCAGACTTAGATTTGTCACAAGTCACAATACTAGTATATATGTATAAATCGTAAGAATTGTGCTGTAAACGTAAGTGATGTCAAAGAGCGTTTGGAATACTAAAGGATACCAAATAATCGCAATTCTCAGCTCCTATAGCTATAAAGTTAGTATGCCTCTGTCGCCATGATGTGCCAGAAAGTAACACAATGGTGTTAGATTACAAAAGCAAGTGTCAGACGTCTAGGGGAAGGGCGCGCGCTCCCCGCGCCCCCCTCTAAATCCGCCACTGCCTGATAGTCGTCTCTAACAATTTCTTTGGTCAATTCATGTCGATAAAATTCAGCAGCTTGTCAGTCTCTGAAATATTCAGGCATGATAGCACTCCAGTAAAAATTTGTGTTTTTGCAGGATCCACACTTTTCGTGGTCTCACGAAACTCTTTAAACGTTGGAATAACTGGGCTTGTAGTTACTTGGTTGATCTTTGATTCAAACACGCCTTTTATCACCAATTCGTAGACGTGATGGCGGCAAGCAAAAATAAGCATTTATTAAGTTTCTGTTCGTGAAGCACACAGGCACCGTTAATGCGACCCGTATTTCTGTATCTTCAAGATTCCAGTCAATAGTAGCACCCCAAAGTACCTGAGCCTGCTCGCTGTCCAGTTTGGGTCCACGGATAAGT